GCAGCTATGACCAGATCACAAGCGATGTTCGCCGATAAGCCACAGCCTATAGTTGCCTAAGATGCGTGACGACGATGATGCTTCTATACGAGACCGCAGTTGTAGACGCACCCTCGCTCCATTCTTCATGGAACCGACGTAATGATCCTCGAAGCTGGTGGAGAAAGGTCACACCGGCCGCAATATAATGCAGTACACAGTACATGTAGGCTCACCCGATGATGGTGTATGCTATGGCGTGAATCGTTGTCAATGAACAGAAGCGATATCATGGGCGAACGTCTGGGCTTACCAATCAAAGACGCTGTCGAGAAGGCAGGAGATCCATCAAGAAATCACCAGCTATGTGAAGGCCATAAATCATTACCTAGTTGAAATAGTGCCAGGACACACTGCGGGGTGCTGTGAACGGAGTCCCTACCTGTCGTAGCACATCGACTCACGATTGCACCCGGAATCTGTATCCTTCTCTCGCTTACTGTGCTGCGTCAGCGAAACATGTGGCCAAACGGAGGAAGGCACGTACACCCGTATATTCGGTAGGCAAAGAAGCTATCGGAGGGTGAGACGATGACAGCATGTGTCGGGAGAGCTGCTCACAGCTGCACAAGAAATCCCGCCAAAGCCTTTCCCTAGGTTAGCTCGTGGTCGTATATGCGAGCTCCAGGGCGATTTGCGGTACTCACTCCAACGCCGACCTGGACCGACAAGCTCCTATGGCAGCTCTGAGTAACTATCCCGTTGTAGATCCCCAATGTCCTGCACTGACCAGACGTCATTTTCCAGCGCAATGTAGTCGCCGAAATTTGTCACGGTATAGTGATAGTAAGAGATTGTCAACAAAATAACATGGAAGGTGTCCACAACGCTGAATGAGAGTGGCGGTTGCACGCTTCTGTTATTCTTCATGTTACAACACGTTCTACGCCTTGTACTCACAAGATAATAGCAACCTGTGAGCGAAAGAGATGAGAGACATGAATTTGAAACCCAAGCGTACGGAAAGATCACCAGTGCTTTCAGACCACGACCGTCCCCCTTCGAATACCGAGTGTAGTAAAGGTATGTCTGAAGACAAGTTACTCCGTACAAACTGATTGACTATCGTCAGCGCGAAAGCTCGTAGGATTCGCCTTGCTGCTCACACGGTAGATAGAAGCAGCCCAATCAGGATGGCCCCGAGGTAATCGTCCAGCGGTATCAAGGAAGGCATGCCCAGCACATCAGTAGGAAAAAGACGAAGGCGCGCTACGAGCGACAGGCCACGACGATCCTTATATCGACGCTCGGCGTCAGTTCTGTCGCATGAGAGCCAAAGACGCACCGGGGTAGACTTCGAATTCAGGGACCTCCATCACTTCGTATCAAGGGACTGGATAGGACTCCGGCTAAGAACACTAGCACATACGTCGGGTGAGAGATTGGACGCTTCTCTCCGACGTGATATGGTGCACACAGACTGTCATATGTTGCGCGTCGGAACATCACTCACAGCATTCACGGGTCTATCGAGCTCTCTATGTGCGAAAGACGACACCATATGGCGATACCTTACGCGGTTTAGTCGATGTCGTGCGGTTCAATGACAATCCACACTTGATCCACACGTAAGTAACGGAGTCGAAAGGCGTGGGTAAGTCGCCTCGCACGTTGACTTATCGTCACTCACTTGGCCGTAATTTGTCAAGGCGACTCTCCCTGACAACGCAGTGCACGTCACGAGGAGCGCGATATGTTGGATAGCGCATCAGTACGGATTCAACATCTGTGCATGCATACAGAGTACATGGACTCAAAGTGTCAAGGCAGCGCGACCTGAAGCAGCCGACCTACGCAAGCCACTACTCAAGTACTCACATCTCGTCTTTCGGCAAAGCAACTCCTTGCAGTTCGAGTCTAAGTTTACTTATGTACCGGCTATGGCAGCGTACATGAGGCCACTGACGGTCACACGATTCGAATGAGTGAAGAAAAGCACTAAATACGGAATACCAATAGAACTTACTGCGCACGACCGAAGTTGCCAGCTTCCTCCTCTGCATGGTTCTGTGGTCATTGTATGTAGTGCAGGTCGGTGAGAGTCCAGATGGAGAATAATAGGTCCTAGGGGGGCAGTTGCCACGGCCATGGAGTAAGTCGCTATCATGAGGGACCTATCATACCAGGAGACGACTCACAGCTTATTGAACTGCGTTGGCAATGCCGCGGCGCCCTCACGCGCGTTCCTCACGGTCCCTCAGGAACTAGACCCAACGACAGACCATTACGTGCTGCAGTTTACGCTCCGAATTTACGCTTTCATCAGTGTGAGCACCCACGAGTCGGCTCCCAGTCACCGTCGTCGGTGCACGGCGAGAACCTACAGTCGAGTTCATGAGCATAACCCATGGACTCCGTCCGTCATCACTGGGCTGAGCTGTACATGTTGAAGACCGTCCTCCCCTCCCTCCGTCAAAGAGGTCTTCTTCAGGGTCTGCCTAGGGGAGACTAGTACATGTTGGCAATGGCTGCGGCGGTGCCAACGACCTACCGCAACAGTCTACACCCCCGGGCCTGCGCCATGAATATAAGTAAGTGACTCATGCGAAGGTACCCAATGAGTCGACTCACAATTCTCCTGAGTCTAAGGCAGCTGCCAGTCAGTGGCGGCGTTCTGTACGAGGCCGCGATGCTCTTGCCAGTGGCAGAGTCGTATCGGTTACCATAAATGGTAATCGCTCATGTATTCGAGCGTCCCGACTCGGAGGCGTCACGGCTGTTCAAACGTTCAACGTTGTCAACGTTCAGTGATCAAACTGGACCCAGAACCATTCACGTTTAACTCGCGCTCGATACACACTGTCACTCCGTTCAGGAACCCCTATCCAACGCCGGTCTGACTAACTATACAGAACGTTGCTGCCGCCGGACTTCACTCATCAATGTAAGTTCAACTTTAGTATTCAGCCTGGAGATCATCTAGCGACACGGTATACTCAGCACCTCACATGCGCGTTTCTCTTTGACCTGCTGCTGGAACCTGGAGATGCCAGATTGTTCAAGTCAACTGTGTCCACTGCACAGAATGGGAACGTCGCTTCCCGACCACCCGGCGTCTCGACACTCACGATTTTGTGACATGCCCGAGATCGTAACACACAGGAACAAGCTTTAATTGGCACACGGACTGACCCGGACGCCAACTACGGATATTGGCTATTCGTGACCCATGTAGCGTCAGTACAGCTCGGTCGCGAAAGCTGCGAGCTGCGACCAGCCTAGTGGTGGAAGCGGGACGCCCTCTTGTATCCTCTTGTGCCCGCAGCCTCACCAAGCTCAGCATCATGCCACCGGAAGAAAGAACCAAAGCAGATATGGCGACAGCGAGGGCACGTACGACCCTTGACATCGAGCAAGTGTGCTACTTCTTGTATGGTAAGTACCTCCCTGGATCTCCGTGACTACCAGATACTCACTATTTCTCATAGGTGGCAAAGTAAATTGGGATGTACGCACTCGTTTACTGAAAGTTGTATCTGAAGACCCGGTTTTCGACAAGTCAGACCGGTATGCAGAATGAGAAGAGACGAGTTGGCTCAATGACAACTGACGAGCAGGCCATTCATGACACGCAAGGACCGGTACAAACGGGCTATAAGAATGACCAACAGGATCTACGAGCTTCAAGACATCTTTGGATGGTCCAACGCAGAGACAACAGAGGCACTCGACCTAATAGACGAAGAGCTGCCCATTCACCTGAGTTCCGCTAGTGAGTACTGCAGTCTGTCGATGGTACGGGTATTGACTCGAATCCGTAAGCATTTGATCCTGTCTTCATGGATCAATGTGGTCCCTACTTGCGCAAGAAGTACAGCGAACTAGTAATCAATCGAGGTATACAAGGGTGAGCACTGAGCGCGTGTATACCTTGGAGAGGCATGTCTGACTTGTAGCAAGTACATACCTGCAAACTGAGCTCGCGCATGGCTCGGACGTCGCCTCATTGGAAACGACGGCTACCTACTTTCCAGAGAAACAAGAGTTTGAGATACACTCGCCGACGCTGACGAGTACCAAGTGGTGGGCAGGCGCTGCAGGCCGAACAGCTACACACGGCGTCGTACAGGCGCAGTTGATACTTCCTGGCGGGAAGGCCATGGGTCCCCATTTGTTCCTCGTCCAACTGCGTTCTCTAGGTGAGATAATTCTGTCCATCCCTGCCGATAGTCAACCTAATCCACTATAGATGACCACAAGGCACTTCCAGGGATCATGATTGGTGATATCGGTAAGGGTAGCTTCCTGGAGTGGTTACGGTGTTATGTCAGTGCTGATCATGAATTGACAAGGCCCCAAGGCAATGGGAGGTTACGGAACAGTCGATAATGGGTTTGCGAGATTCGACCGAGTCCGGATTCCACGAGAGAACATGCTCTCAGAGTACTCGCAAGTCGCAGAAGACGGCCGTTATATCCGGCCGCCTCATGCCAAACTGAGTTATGCAGGGGTAAGTCAATGAACAGCTCTCCTGAAAATTTGCATTGACACATCCCACCATAGATGATGGTCGTACGCTCGCTGTAAGCATGAACATGATAGATCCGAGCCACTGTTCTGACAGTCAACCCTCTTCAAGCCTCGTGGGCAAGGGTGCATGGGTCATGGCGAAAGGTACTACATTCCAGTCAATGGGCAGCATCCGCTAACAAGTGAGTAGCGGCAACCGTATCTATCCGATACTGTATGGTTCGTCGACAAGGGAACCGAGGCGCAGATGGGCTCGAGCGGCAGGTCATAACTTACCCCGGGGTGTACTACCGACTGCTGCCAATTCTGTCCCACGCGTACATCTTCGTTATACTTGGTCGGAGCTTGGTGAATGCCTTCAGTCTCATTCCGCCTCATTGAAGCTCACTTGCCTTGCCTTCGCAGCTCGTGCAGATGGAGGTCATGAGCAAGCAGCTTGCAGTCGGGAATGTGTCCATGGTGTCGGAGATGCATCTGACATCGTGCGCGCTCAAGATCCTCGCAACGACCATGGGCGCTCAGGACGCGGAGACGGCGCGCCGAGCTATGGGAGGACACGGCTTCAGCGAGTTTGCCGCTATAGGGAGGTACTATGCTGACTTCCTACCTACCACGACGTGCGTGTTCCCATCGGCATCGTGTTGCGTCGCTGACGACAGTCCCATACACAGCTATGAAGGCGATAACTTCGTACTAGACCTACAGATAGTTCGCGGAGCGCTCAAAACCTACAAGACCCTGCAATCATCCGGATTCTCCGCCAATGCTGCGGCGAAGCTTCCTCCGTCCTCTGCTTACATGCGCTCGTTGCTTCCAGAGTTTGCGACGGAAGTCTCTGAGCCTGATTGGACCAGTCCGCGACAGGTGGTCGGTCTTCTCGAGAGGCGTGCCGCAGCGATGGTCAAGAACCGTGCGGACACAAAGGACGTTGATGCAAGCATGGACAATCGTGTCTCGAAGGCTGTGGTAGACGCTTACCTCGGTGCTCAAGTCCGTGGACTGGTCGAAAATCTACGGGACGTCCTTCCGTCCCGAGAAGCGAGTGTTGTTGGCAAGCTGTGTACTCTGGTACGTGCTGCTAGTCATATTATCAGTGAATAACTGCTTATGATCCGATCTAGACGCTGCTGGCGTTGGCCGAGTCTGGGTTGGTGGACATTCTATCTTTCGGATTGTTGCCACAGAAGGCTGGTGAAGACCCTTCAAAAGTTTTGCGCACGGCTATCGATCTTCTATGTATTGAGCTGCTTCCGGAGGCCATCGGCCTTACCGACGCCTTTGGGTTCACCGACTGGCAACTCGATAGGTGAGCAGTCTTCTGTTCGCGGTTTCACGACTCTGCCTGACTGCTCCGGATGAAGTGCGTTAGGAGTCTACAATGGCAGTGTCTACGAACAATTATGGACTCGTGCTCAGATGGAACCTCTTAATGCAGAAGAGCCTGTTTGTGGCTATGAGGTGCGCCAGGACTCTATCACGGAGTCTGTATCATCTGACATGTATAATCAGCAATATATCAAGCCTATGCTCCGCCGGGGTCGTCGATTATCTGCAACGCGGAAAGCAAAGTTATAGTTTGGAAAGTTGTTGGATGGGCGATGGCTGTGTTGCGACGTTGCGCTGATTGTCAGTACTTCTGCAACGCCTCTCTAAATCCTTTGCGAGTCTTCTTATACCCACAAAGCTCCATATATCTGACGCTGATCACGTCTCCTACTTAGGGCCATGAACACAGTACACGTACCGTCCATTGGGACCACATAATCGCCTCTGCGTTGAGAACTTGTCATGAAACATGACAATTGATCTTTAGCAGAGGTTCTCAATCCAATATGAAGGCCGCGTATTTTGGGTTTTAGTCTCGTGGTGCCGTGGTGTCATAGCGTGGCTATTGCATCTGTCCAAGTCCACTCAACTTCTCCCGGGCGCGTTGATACATAGATATAGCTCAGGCTCGTTGCCCAAGGAAGATCAAGGATAACTCGGTGCCTTCCGGATCTCGAGTCGAGAACGTATCATGTGGGTACGCGTGGCGCGGGCACAAGTGTCACTAGACGTGGGCTTCGCGTCGTACGATTGACACCTCACTCGAAGCACATTCAAACAAGCCAATGTGCATACGAGGCTCGATCAGTATGTACCAAAACTCTATGTGTTCTCTCTGGTTGCTCATGACCTGGGTTGAAGGCTTCTATCCAGCAGTGATCAATGCAACAGGTGATGCAATCTAGACTCTAGACTCGAACCATCCGAACTCTGCGACTGACGATTCAACAAAGACTTGAAGTTGCTATGTCAGGGCGTCCGTTTGATGAGAGCCTTCTGGATGCGCATACACTGTGGCAGGCTGCACTTTCATACAACCGGCGAAATGGTATCATCACATACACGCATGTGAACAGTGATTTTTAACACTTGTGACCCTGACAGCGGCCACCCTGTAGGCTGTGTATACCATACATCATAGGGCAGTGCGACCTTCACGTTCACTTCACACAATTCATATAATCGAAGCTGATTGGATTTGCATCATCTCAGTGGTTCATATATAGTGGCACTTATATAATAGCCTCGCTATCGTCAAATCGTGAAGGCACAAGCAGACATGTCACCACTACCAAGTATCGCCAACATACTTGGGCCTGCGTGTATAGGCATCATCGTATCAAGCATGTATGTGTCACGCTCTAAGTCCTTGCACGAAGGCTAATATGTACCAGCATATTCGGCATCAATTGCCTGCAGCTGTATTTTTATTACACCAAATATGCCAACGGAGACGGCGCGACACTCAAAATCTATGTACGAGAAATAACACCCGAGGATATACCGCTCACAACTAATGCCTCCTTCGAAGGTTTCTGCTCTCATGTATGACGCCAGCGTTATCACTGTCCCATGTCCCACACTAAAGTGCTGTTTGTTAGGGTGGTCGATACTCTGCACGTCTTACTGTTAGTGATATCATACTATCACTACACGGTGACGTATTTCGGGGACATATTTGCCCTGGCCTATGGTTACTGGTACGTGTCGCCTGGTGTTCGTGCTTGGCTTACAACGTGATTTACATACCTTGCAGGACATTGCTGGTACGACCGTGTGCAAGTGTCGCCATATACAGCTGACCATCCTTCAGGCTGAGGTCGCTGTCGGTGTGAGTGTAAAAGCAATGCTGATACCTGTATAAAGACTGTTGCCATCGTTGACCTGCTACTGCTTGAAGGGTTTGCTTGTCACTATGGTGCAACTGTACGGAATCTCACACCGCACTGATGTGTGATACAACTGACGAGTCGCCGCATCAGTTATTTCGCTTTCCGGGTTTACACCCGTGAGTTCGCAGTGTGTGCGCAGAAGAAACAATCATTGACGAAGTACTGGCACAGTATCCGGGAAATGTACTCTTCTACCTGTGGTTATAGTACGTACAAAGGCCGCCTCAGGCTGTGTGCAAGGCTGATGATCAACTCCTTGACTAGTCTATCTTGAGCATTTGTGGGCTCGGTAAGTCGGTCGTCATAGAATGCACAGCTCAATAGATATTGATGCTACGATAATCAGCACTTAGCATAGGTGCGTGTTGGGTTCCGTAATGGTCTACAGGGTCAATGCCATCCTGATTCCTCGGTTCCGCCAGTGTTCACCGTCGTTGGGTAATTCCACGTGTCAAAGCGCATGCTCGAGCACAACTAATTCGAGACTTAGACTCGAGATCCATCTTTTCGCTTCAGGCGAACGTCTGAAGGTGCATTTTCCTGAGGACTCTGGGAGTCGTTCGTTGTGTGACTGAACTTTCTCTGCAGCCATATAGTGCAGCGGGTCTCAGCGCCGAGCTAGCATGCGATGTACTCATCGCGGGCACCCTCATCTACTATCTACATGCGAAACGGACCGTCTTCCCTCGGTGAGTCGTGACTGTGACCTCGTTACACACTAACTTACGCGTGCGTCCACTTGTAGAACGAATCGTGCAATCAACCTTCTCATTATGTATGCGCTGAACACATGTCAGTGTTCTATGCTTGTATCACTGTAATAACACGCTCATTCAAAGCATCCCGGGTATAGGCTTGCTGACTACGTATGGAACCATCGCACTCGCAGTCGCGGCCATCATCGCTCACTGCCCTGTATGTACAGAATATTCACGATTATCGATTTGACACTGGTAAGTGCGCTCGATCTCTAGAAGTGCAGTTGTACTGATGAGAGTAGTTTCTGCTCTTCCCGGAAACCATGATATACACTGTGTTCTTTTTTGTGCTGATCCGCCGTGCGTCATGGCCCCTGCCGAGTCCTCATACGGACGCTGACCGTTTACCCTCAGTATACACCTGCTCTATGCTGTCTACGTGCGTACCAACCAAACCCTATACTACGGGGCCCAGGCTCACACGCGGGTTGTCTAGGCTCAACTCTCGCGAGAACGTGAGACATGCCCTGGGAACCCACGACACTGTCAACATTCTCCCGGCCAGGATCAAATTCGGGAGGTGTTGTCCCGAGGCTGACTCAGAGCTACTAGTATCTGCAGACACGGCGGCCACCAAGTGCGCGCATACCGCGCAGACGGATTCGAACCCGTCGTGCGTCTAGAAGGAGCTTATCCATATTCTATGCTGTCCTTCCAGTCGTTGCAGGGCTTGCTTGTGCACGGTGAGATTGATCAAGTACTCAGCACGGGATGTATACCACGGAGGCTTTGTGAGAGGATTGGCTATGTGCACCATAGATATCATCATTTACTCGAGAGAACACTACTTCAGACAGTTGAAGAACCGCACGGGCATTCATGTGAGCCATTTCGCGAGTGCGAGGCGAGCATAGATGAAATGATGTTTAGTCAAAATGTGAGAGGAAGTCGTTACTCGATTCTTTGAGCTGGAGTGGGTACGATCCTCCGAGATCATGTCATCCACACGCAAGTCCTCAAACTCATACTGACACAATACGGCGATGATGCCAGGCAAACATACAACATTCCTTCGGCAATTCGACAACGTCCACATTCAGTACATCCATAACCTTCACCAGTAGACAATTAAACGTACCGCGTTTGCTACTTTACAGTGTACAAGTCCATGTATCCGCGCATCACTCATCTTCATCTTCGTCGTCGCCACCCTCGTCCGGCTCTTCTTCCTCTTTGTCTTCACCCTCTTCCTTCTCTGCCTCTTCTTCCTCCTCTTCATCGGACACGACAACTCGTTTCTTTTTCGATGACGACGACGGTGCAGGCTTGTCCTTGGGTTTGGACGAAGCTGACGGTTCAGATTTCTTCTGCTTCGATGTGGCGCTGGCAGGCAACCTGGTCACCGCCTTTGTTTTCGATCTCTTCTTGGGGCGTTCCTCCTCTTCCTCCTCTTCGTCATCGTCGTCATCCTTGCCGAATCCCTCGACCTTGGTGTAATCTACGCGGATCCCGCGCGTCCTGCGGCCTCCGGTTATGATGTTACTGGTGTCCAGTGCTCCGAGTTCATCTGTGACACGCATACAAGTCATCAGACGAGAGAATACCGTTGATAACACATGAAAAGACATACCTTCGTCGACCCCAGCATCAGAGTCGTCGCCGCCTTCGACTTCGTCTTCAGACTCCTCGTCACGCTTAGACCTGTGCAATCATGTTCTCTTCCGGTCTCAAACGAGATGCTAATAACAATGTACTTACTTCTTACTTCTCTTTTTCTTGTCGCTTTGCGTCGGTTCGGCCCGTCGTTTCGTGCGGGAGGACATGACTGTCGCAGACAAGTCCTGGTTGAGCGAGGCGGAGGCGGAATCTTGCGCCACTCCCCTCGGGCGCTCAATTGAGAGACCCGATCACAGAGTTAGCGCTGGGAAGATGCCGAGATTTAGCGCGAGATCTCTGATCGGGCAGATCGCCAATTCTCTCGACTCAATTTCCTGTTCATTTTCCGTCCCATTTCCCCCTCCATTCCCTCCCGCTCCCCCGTTTACTCCCCCGCGTTCCACCCTTCCTGTTCGTGAAACTTGTAAGTTATGTCTGAGTCCGCAACTGCGACACCCGCTGTGGAGGAAGTGAGGATGGAGGTCGAGGATGCGGGCAGCGTGCCAGTTGAGGTCAAACAGACGGAATCAGGGTCTGTGGCGGTCCCTCCGACGGTCGCGAAGACGGCGGGCGACGCGGGGTCAGAGGACAAGCAGGCGGCCACCGGGGGAGATGACGAGGATAAGTTGCGCGCTGCGCGACAGAGTACGTGAGATACCATGTCCTATCGTAACTTGTGCTGACTAGCGTCCATTTAGTCGAGTTCTATTTCGCGGACTCGAACCTCCCTTTCGATAAGTAGGTATCGTTGCGCACCCACAGACTCGCATACTGAATGGGCCGCGTAGGTTCATGTGGACATTGCACACGGCCAACCCCGAACACTGGGTCCCTCTCTCCACGGTATCGTCCTTCAAGCGCATGCGTGAATGGCAGAAGCACGGTCATGCCTGGATCGCCGACGCGCTCCGCATGGCATCTGAGCTCGAGGTCAGTGAGGACGGCACCAAGGTGCGTCGGCGCACGGAGGTGCAGCCGCCCAAGGACCAGTTCGAGAGGAGCATCTACGCTGTGAGTCAGGTCTCGCTGGGTCGCGTCTGCATTCTAAGGCAGCGCTCAACTACAGAAAGGATTTGGTACGGATGAGGACGGCGAGACGCAGGCGAAGCTGGAAAGCTTCTTCAACAAGTATGGGCGGACGAACGCTGTGAGGATGCGGAGGACGGAGGACAAAACGTTCAAGGTGAATGACTGTGTATTGCCGTCGTCACCGTGTAGTCTAACTTTCGCTCTTAGGGCTCCGTATTCGTCGAGTTCACCGACTTCAAGTCCGTCGGGATTTTCCTTAACGCCGACCCTAAGCCATCATGGAACGGCGAGGAGCTGAAGACCATGACAAAGTGCGCCTCAGGTCCCGTCCATGTCGTACTATCTAACTCATCATCACCAATCCGCCAGAGAGGCCTACTGCGAGATGAAGATCAAGGAGAAGGGCCTCACGGGCAAGGCTGCACGGATGCGCAAGCAGTCGTTCCAGACCGGCAGGGGCTTCAACGCGTTCCGCGAGATGGAGGAGGCGAAGAAGAACAAGGACAAGAAGGACAAGGGAAAAGGGAAAGAAGAAGAGAAGAAGAAAGAGCCAGAGGTCTTCATCGAGTTCATGGGCAGCAAGATCCGCGTCGAGCAGGGTGAAGAGGGCGGGACCGTCAAGGACGAGGACGTCCCTCTCGTGAAGGGTGCGTCGTTAACTTTCGCGGGGGCGGGCGAGAGCGTGACCTTCGATGAGATCAAGGTCTGTTGGGGTTTTGTCATACGTGTATCCGACTCACTAACCCCACTGGCAGAGCCCGCTGAAGGAGCGCTTCCCGCGCGCACCGTACGTCAAGCACACTCGCGGAGAGAGCTCCGGTCTCGTTGGGTTCGAGAAGGCCCTTACAGAGGACGAGATCGCGTACGTCAAAGAGCACCTCAAGACGCTCGGCGGAAAGGACGTCTCTTGGAGCATCCCCGATGGTACGTCACATTTCATCGACCCCTCCTCTTGTCTCACATCTCTGCAGAGAAGACGGAGCGTGCCTTTCAGCTTGAGCGCGCACAAGGCTCTGCCCGCCGCGCCGTACATTACAGCCAGAGCAGCCGGGGCTCCAGCAGGGGCCGAGGCGGTCGAGGGCGTGGCGGCCGTGGTGGACGCGGTGGGGGCCGTGGTGGCGGACGCACGCGGAGCGGTCCCAAGGAGAACGGCGCGGGCGCAGGAGCGGCTGCAGCTCCGGGCGAGGAGCAGACCGGTGAGAAGCGCAAACGCGCTGTTGAGCCTGATGGTGGTCCGACCGTCGGTCAGCGCGGGCTTGCCGTCCCAGTCATCCAGAGCGCAAAAAAGGCGAAGACGGACGAGGGGTCGTCATGAGTGGTAAAATTGGTTCGCGGCCTGAAGAAGCATTACTAGGTTCGATAGCGGTCGAAGCATTATTGTAGTTGTAACTTGTACCGAGCATTGGGCATTTGTTTCGCATGTATCTGTCGACTTCTCGTGTGTACTCATGATTGATTTACGATTGCAACGCATCTTTCTTGAGAGCCAGCACTCAGGGTTACAAGTTCATGTCAAAGGCACAGGACCAAGGGACTGCCATCAAGGAGGTAGAAATTACTACTAGTAGTATATATATTGCACGCCTGCCCTTTAACCTCGTCGATTCGAATCCGCGCAACTAACTGACTTTGAGCTATCTGCTCAGTGTATTGAAGTCAATTCGCTCGTTCAGACCTGAGCCACATTGGAGACAAATGGAGGGTGGTCTATTGGTGGTCTGGCCGACGCGACACGGTCACGCGCGTCCGACGCGTGGCCTCCTACGAGCGCGGAGGAGATTACCTAATACGCAGGCATGCCCATACATGGCCAATCCCCATTGACATCACAGGACTCCCCACTGGGGAAGCGGGCCTGCTGCAGCAGTTGCCCGCGTCTCCCGACTTACTCCCGACCACCACCATGCCCCCTACACGCATTCCAAAACCTGGCTCTGTCGAAGTCGGCCCAGAAAAGGTCGACGGCGAGACGCGGATACGGCGGAGCGTGTTGGCGCGTGACAAGCTCGTCACGCAGCCATGGGAGGGCATCGACACCGTCTACGACGTCCTCATGTACGCCGCGCGCACGCACGGCACCCGGCAGTCGTACGGCTCCCGCGACGTCGTCGAAATCCACGAGGAGGAGAAGGAGGTCACGAAGGTCGTGGGCGGGAAGGAGGTCAAGGAGAAGAAGACCTGGAAGTACTTCCAGCTCAGCGACTACAAGTACCTCACTTTCCAGCAAGTGAAGGACGCTGCAGTCGAGGTCGCCGGAGCCCTGCTCGAGCTCGGTGTCCAGAAAACAGACGTCGTCAACATCTACGCGGCTACCACGTACGTGTCCATTCTCGTTGCAATTCGTTGCGTAGCCGCTTCTGCTTCTCGTTCGCCTGTTGCCTGTGCTTCGGGTGCCTACAGCGGGGACCCCCAGCTATCTCCGACCGCAGCATCCCGCAGGTACACGCGTCCGCTCGCCAAATACGCCTTATGTCAGCGGTAGTATGACATACCTTCCGGCCGTACTAGTTTCTCCGGCGCGCCTCGTAGTACCAGAGGATGATAGACCTGTCCTTGCGTCGCGCGCGAAGGCCAGGTGGGCCTTGTCATTGTTTAGCCCTTGAGCAGTGGCCAGCAGGGGTCTTCAAGCGGGGCACGGCGACCTCCCGTTGGGTGGAACAGTATCCCGTTTGCTGACAGTGACCCGCGGTTCGCGGCTTCGATGCTGAGCTGCACGCTCTAAGACCGGGAGCTAGATGGCGTCGGACGCGTGGCCGGGACGCTTGACAAGGGCGTCTCATGGCAGCGAGAGTTGTGCGGGTTTAGCTCCCTTCTGTATTCGGAATACAGGCTTTCACACCGATGCTGACATCTCACTTGCCCCACAGCCCGAGTTGGCAAATGATATCGTACGGCTGCGCGATCATCGCGACAGCCATTGCGACCGCGTACGAGACGCTCGGCGAGTCTGGCCTGCAGCATGCGCTGAACGAGCCCGAGTGCGTGGCGATGTTCACGAACGCGGAGCTGCTCAAGGTCGTGGCGAACGTGGCGCCGAACGTGCCCAGTCTGCGTGTGGTCATCTACGACGGCAAGGCGGACGAAGCGCTCCTGGAGAAGATCCGGACGGCGCGTGAGGGTGTACGCGTCCTGCACCTCGACGAGCTGCGGCAGCTCGGCAAGGGCGCTTCGGAGGAAACGCTGAAGGCGCGGCGGCCAGTGCCAGAGGACACGGCGTGCATCATGTACACGAGCGGAACGACGGGCCCGCCGAAGGGGGTCATGATATCGCACGCGAACGCGATCGCGTCCGTCGGTGCGGTGTACACGTACATCGGGCACCACCTCAAGCCGGACGACGCTTACCTGGCGTACCTCCCGCTGTCGCACGTGCTCGAGTACATCGTCGAGATGTGCCTGTTCTTCGTGGGGATGAAGTTCGGGTACGCGCGCGTGAAGACGCTGATGGACACGTCCGTGCGCAACTGCCTGGGCGACATCCGCGCATTCCAGCCGACGATCATGGTGGGCGTGCCGCAGGTGTGGGAGACGATCCGGAAGGGCATCGAGGGCAAGGTCAACCAGGGCGGGTCATTCAAGAAGGGCATGTTCAACGCGTCGGTGTCGATCAAGAAGGCGGGTGTGCCTGGCCTGAGCGAGCTCGCGGACAGCGCGGTGTTCTCGCAGGTGCGCGCGGCGACGGGTGGCAGGCTGCGTCTTGCGCTCTCGGGCGGTGCTGCGCTCAGCATCGAAACGCAGGAGTTCCTGTCCCTCGCTCTCGTGAAGATGGTCCCTGGTTTGTGCACTCAAGCGTCACCACTTCTCGTACGCTCACGTACTCGGTTGCACAGGCTATGGTCTCACAGAAACGGTTGGTATGACCACTGTGTTCCCTCCGGAATACTCAGGATTCGGCGAGGTCGGCCTGCCTGTGCCTTCCATGGAGATCAAGCTGAAGGACGTCCCGGAGGCGAACTACCTGTCCACGAACAATCCTCCACAGGGCGAGGTCTGGGTTCGCGGCGCGTCGTTAACCAAGGGCTACTTCAAACGTGATGACCTCAACAAGGACCCAACCATCTTCACGCCGGATGGCTGGTTCCGGACAGGTGATGTCGGTCAGTGGAATCCGGACGGCACCCTCTCTTTGATTGACCGGTTCGTGTCATCTCATCAATGGGAGATTGGCGAGGTATTGATGTCTGTCTGGTTAGTATCAAAAACCTGGTGAAGCTGTCAGGGGGAGAGGTAAGCCATGACGCAAGCCTGTTTAATGGAATTTTCGTTGACCGATCGTTATGCAGTACATCGCGCTCGAACGACTCGAATCCGTCTACAAGTCCTGCAATCTTGTCGCCAACGTCTGCGTACACGCACACCCCGACGCGAAACAGCCCATCGCAATCATCATCCCGCACGAGCAGAACCTCCGGTACGCGCTCGAGAGCAAGTCTCTTGGCCTGTCCGTACACACGGGGCTGCCCGACCTCTGCAAGGACGACCGCGTCCGTGAGCTTGTAATGAAGGAGTGCAATGCTGTCGGCAAGAAGAACGGCTTCAAGCCGATGGAGATCCTCGACGGCATCATCCTCACGGCGGATGAGTGGACGCCGGAGAGCGGCCTGGTCACGGCGGCACAGAAGGTGCAGCGCCGGAAGGTGGCGGAGCGGTATGCTGACGAAATCAAGGTACCTATTCTTGCTTCTTGGCTGGGATGACTTATGCTGAACGCTCTCTTGTAGGCGATCTACAAGCCAATCTAGAGCTAGCGCATATCGTTGCATCAGTTGTACCCACGGACCATGACACGTTGACGAGCATGCTTGCTGGCTTGCAACTTTCGAGTTATCTTGTACACTAGGCTTTTTGGATGGTCCATATTGTAATGCAAGACAAGCCCGGCACTCCGATTACGTGCAGGTTCCATCTGTCGAATGACGTGCTGACCTACGGAGCATGATGTCGTTGTCGCTGGTCAACTCACGCGTCTTTGATGTCATCGGAAGGCTCGAGACGAGTCCAAGTCATCAATGGCTACGAGGGATGCCCATACGAACCCCAACCTCCTGCACATGCGGGGCTAGTCGGTCTTGACGAAGAGGCTACTTATCCTCGGATCCTGTGAGCGCTCGCATACCGACAGTTCACAATTTGCTGTGCAGTGCTTCGCGTAAGTACGACACTTTCTTCTCTTCCAGTACTTACTGTACCGTCGTATCGGGGCCCGACCCCCAGTAATTGTCCCTTCCAGGATGCTTAAGCTTCTCACTACGACACATCTTACAGTTCACGTTTGCCGGGTATATTGTAGTCCATCATACTACGTAGAATGTTAGTGTTACGGCAAATACTGACGCGTTAACGTGCAGTCACGGACCAGTCTGATTGCAACGTGGATCCGCATACGACATTGAATAAATAGTCGAGTCTACGCTTCCATATCGAAAGTGCTGAGGCTGGCATTGCTCTCCTTGCCCTCGTGTTGCTGCAAGGTCCAACTCTCGTCCACAGCGGCATGCAGAGAGAGCGCTTTCATGAAGAGGCTCGAGACAAACCCGACCAGCGATGGCGAGGAGGTCTTCCCAGATGACCTCAAGGCTGGCTGCGAAGGCTTCCCGAACCTCTGTACGTAGTGGCTCCGGGAGATCTGCTATGGCCGGGATTGTGGAATACGCAATGACTGTCCCCTCGGGGAACTGGGCGGTGAAGGCGGGCGGTAGGCGTTCTTGAAGCTCGTTCTGAAGGACAGTTCCGCCGATTGTGACCCCCCCGACCTTTACCATCTATCAGCAACGGAGAACGGAGGCAACGGAATGTGGTCACGCACCAAAGCAAAGTTACGCAGGAACATGAAGAATGCACTGGCGAGGCCGTTCTGCGAAACGTGCACTAGTCGTACGCCTCGTCAGCCGTTTTTCGGAAATAGATAGAAGAGAAGACTCACGCGGCGCGAGGACGGGGAAATACGTCGAAAATGCTAGGAGTCCACAGCCCAGCGCACTCGGTACGAGAAACCCGATAGCGTGTCCGAGAGGCGTGTCCGCATCCAGCGTGATGAGTAGTCCCGTCCCGATCATCATGGCTATCCAAGCCGTCCACAATGGTAGCCTGTAGCCGCCTGTGCGATTGACAAACACGCCTCCAAGAATACCGACGGGCGCGAGGACCAATGAAAAAGACAGCACATCTACGCCGGAACCGATCGCAGAGGCCCCCTTGCATGCTTGTAGGTAGACTGGGATATAATCTGTACCAATCCGTCAGTGATCACCTTGTACGACATCGCAGCTAGCAGCCTCACAGACGGTTGCGATCATTACTATTGGCATGACGAACGTCTGCATGTAGCCACTGACTCCCGTGATTGTGGACAGTAATGCAGCAGGTACCTGTCGAAAGATGAGCCATGCAGGGACACCGGCCGAAGTGAGACGTACCAGTGGATATGCTGGGAAGATGCACTCGTATGTTATGAACGCTGCCATTCCTACGAGTCCAATTATGAGGGGTGCTAGCACTGACGCCGAGCCCCAAGAGTACTGGACGCCGCTCCAGGTGAGCCCGACGACGCAAGCAGTTGTCGCGGCGATGACAAGGAACGTGCCACTAAAAAGAAAGGCTCGTGAATAAACACCAGATGCTATAGACGGAAAAAAATCCACCTACAGCCAGTCGATCCTGCGAACCTTCTCTTTCAGGGTCCCTGGCGGTGCCCGGACGCGCAGGAATAGTATCATGATGGCGCCAGCTACTCCGCATATTGGGATATTAAGATCTGTACACCACTATGAGCACGTTTCCTCCGGTGAGCGTGAACACTACCTACAAGAGAGCCACCTCCATTGTCCATTCTGAGCAAGGGCGCCGCCAACAATTGGCCCAATTCCGCTGGCCATCGCCCATGCACTGCAATGACCTATAATGAATGATTTGTCGGCCATTGTAAGGAGTAGAACTTACATTCCGATCAAACCGTTATAAATACCACGCTCGCTGAGAGGCACAAGGTCGGAAATAATAATGGCAGTCGTAGCGGAGATTCCTCCGCCACCAAGCCCCTGAACGGCTGTCATGCTTTTGTCAACAAGCAGGACAGAGATCTAGCGGTACAGAACGTACTCCGTCCTGCAATCAGATGGGTCATGCTCTTCGCAGACCCACAGAGGGCACTGCCCAAAGCCATGATCGCCAGAGACGACAGAATCACGATGCGTCTTCCGAAGATCTGAGGGAATGCAGATCATGATTGTTGGCGCGTCTGTCGTTTGATCTCATGGACACACACACCTGAGAGAGACCTCCGCTAAGGGGGATGAAGGCCGTCCCTGCCAGTGTATACGCCGAGCCGACCCATATAAACGACGAGCCATGCAGATCCTGGGTAATGGTTGGGAGTGCAACGGAGACCGCCGCCTGTTCACATTATCAGTGAGCGGTGCTATGATCAATGGATCGAGTGGGAGAAGCGACGCACCAGCTCAAGAGCAGTAATCATTATGGCTACAAGGGACGCCATCGCTACGCTCCGGCGGTTGAGTGAACATCAATGTAATTAAAGTCATAAACCATCATAGTAGAAGTTCGTCATAGGTGACATTGATAGTAGTGGATTCGTCGTGTTTGAGCAAAATTCTTGCGTAGTCACAGTGACATATGCGCGAAAGGGCGGTGTACAGCTGTCCATGTGAAAACACGTGTCTCGTAAGGTCTACTCCCACTGCGTCAAGAGTTAGCCCTTGGTAAGTAGCTATTGAATGTCATTGCATATGCCGGCGGCCGCGCAAGAGGAAACTGACGACGGAGGAGTGTATGGCCCGAGGAAAGGGTGGTAGAGAATGTGATCCGAGGTATGAGGACGTCTTCTTCAAGTTCATCGATGACACTGACACCTGCAATACCCCGTAGAATGCGGACTGTGACGAGACGGGGGCCGACCGCAATGACAACAACGCGAACGTTCTTGACCAAGCCACGGTCGAGGGAGAAATTACGCAGCAAGCGTTAGACGGCGTTAACCTTCACGGTCAACGAGTGGGGAGGAAAACCTGCAGGATTCTGGCGGGCGACGTAGTCAAATATGCTGTCGGGGGAGTCGATGCCGCCGTCGTCTGCCTCCTTCAGAGAGTCGGCCGCAAGGTATGTCCTGCTTGTCTCATCAATCTGGTCGAGAACAATGCTGTTGTAACGGCCGATCTGCCTATTGGTGGGAGCAAGCATCGAACATTTTAGACAGGCGATGGGATTGGCGAGTACATGTGTCGGGAAGACGAAGTCAATCAGCTGCTGGTCGTCGGATACATGTTGCAGGAGGTGCAGAGAGACTTCTGGACCTTCACCGTCACGGCGTCACCGATAGCATCAACCATGTGGGCGAGCTCAAGGAGTGTTAGCAGTCGATGATCGACTGCCTCCGGGTAGAGTTCCACCTCCGATAGCGACAGGAGAGGGGCCGAAGTTGAAAGAAATGAGCTCAAGGTCGACACCCAACACGCCATCTGAACGCACGCGCGAGCATCGGCCGTGGAAAGATACGGTAGAATTGGGGGCAGGAGCAGGAACGGTAGCCCATCGCGGCGAAGCGTCGTATATGCACCTAGTAAGTGGGAGATTTAATGAAAGCGCGAAGACAGTGTTGTAATTACACTTACTGAATATTAGATGTTTTACTTTCGTCACGCACGCGCTCATGGGCGATAACAGGGAATGACTTTGATTGGCCGTCTGCAAGCATATCATACGCAGACGCAACCGTTCCGATGCCGATGATGGTGGGCGGGAAGGACAGAACACTCTGATCATATTCGTCCCCGAGAGATGGATCGCCGTAGAAAGGTGTGAGCTGGATAGCATCAAGCAAAGCCATGCCGGCAGAAGGACAGTAGGCACGCGCGATGACGTAAGCAATAGTATTGTCAGCTAAGACAGTGTCGTTTGGAGGGCTGTACACGCGCAGCTCAGCCGGAATGTCGCTGCCGTTCGAGCATTCGATCAAGGTGGCGTAGTAGTTCAAGTTGTGGAACGTCGAAGTACCGCGTTGGCGGTTAGCGCTTCAAGTGATGAACGACGGCCGTCGGTGAGGGATACAAAGCCGAAGAGAAGAAGGTTTGGTCATCGCGGGAGTTGCGGGACAGCACGTCAAAAACGGCGGGCAGGCAACGGGCAGAAATACAGCAGTGGAACGCATAACAATAAGACGTTAGATCTGATCGACACAAAGACAACAGGCAGCCTTACCATTTTGGGAGACAATAACGAAGACAGGGGTAGAGGCACAGAATGCATGACACAGGAGGTACAGACACAGAGAGGGGAAGGGCGTCGTGCAACACTGCATGTAGCCATGCGCTGAGCGGGCGGGGACAACGACTTGATTGGAACCGAGTCGGAGGGCGGTAGTGTTACAAAGCAGCTCAATGAGGCAATAGCCAGTTGCTGTATTCGGGAAGGCGGTCGGGATGCGTCGCGCTTCCGCAGACTTACAGTCAATTGGTAGCGATGGTCTACATAAAACACAGAAAAAAGACATAGATTACTGCAGCTTGGTAACGACTAATGGCGCATCGAGGCATAACGAGGCATATACGGCGCATCGGCCACATCGAGTTTTACTCAGCCACAGACGTAGACAGAAGCGCTGGTCCAAACAGGTGCAAACGAATTCACCGGATCTGCTTTAGTATACGAGTAATCCCAACACCAAGAAAGACGAGCCAGAAGCGTGCGTCTCGCGGCTGTTTTTCCTGATCGACTACCTTCGCAGCAAGGGGCAGCTTGGACTCTGTCGCGTCAGGAAGTGACACAAGGTAAACATCGCGTGTGTTCGTGGTCATCTCGACAATGGCTAGGTATGAATGACACTGAAATAAAATAGAAGTAGGATAAGAAAAGTGGCCGTAAGTGAGATCAGGAAAAGAGTGCGTAAGAAAAGCCCTCGCACGAAGCAGGCAGGAGGAGTAGATATCGAATGCAGACAAGCTTGTGAGCTCCTTTATACATGACGGTTATGGGCCTATCATATCGAGTGGTGCGGCGGGCGGGTGACGCTCATGATCAAAACGCAAGGACGCATAGCAATAGCACGCCCAATGTCATCCCTGCACGCCCATTCTGAGCAATGAGCCGCAATCAGTATGGGCGCTGGAGCCGTTCAATACAGAGGTTGATCGTCACCAGGGCAGTTGTGTTGCTCGTCCAACGCTTTCTGTCAGCGATGCACATGTCCTGTATCGAACTTGGTACAGTGAATGGAAGGTTCAGAGTGCAGTTTTCATGAGCCGTGTCACTGACGCCCTCAACGAGACCACATTTATCCACGCGTGCATGGCTCGCTTGCAGACTGTTGTCTGTAACTGTATGCCATCTAGTTGTGCAGCATTCAAGTTGTCCGAGCAAAGATTACGCACGTGAGTACTTCAGGTTTTTACATGCACTTCGGGTGCGTATGAGCGGCCACCTTCATTGGGCGCGACACATTGACTATGGTTATGCAGACGTCTGCAGTGCAGAGGCTGAAGCTAAGCTGTCGGCGAACGTCGCTCCGATCGCGAAGGCCATCCGACAACCCTGCATGAAGTTCGATGTCATCGTGTTGTTAATATCTAAGAGACAGAGTGGAATTCTCACCTTTCTCGGCGTCCTCATTTCTTGTAGTGATGAGAGGTCAATGTTGGATCCGAGCGAGCGCCGCCGAGCGTGCTGAAGCGCTGAAGGCTTGTGGCGACAGGTGGCGACACCAGAAAGTCCGATCCACGGGGAGAGCCGTTGCGTGCAACGCGTTGCGCGCAACGCGCAACGTCACGCAAGTCACGGTGTGGCTTGCCTCGTCGGGCGGGACAAGGGGTTACGGGACAGTTGGTGTATACATATTGGCAAAAATAACACCAGACCACTTCGCACTTCGCTCCAGCTAGATATATACAGGCCTAGAATAAGAGCTAATACGACCTCAGTCTGCAGAGCTGGGAGTGGTTCGCACTGTGACTCAACGCGCCACATGTCGCTTATGTAATTTCTCGGGCAATGCATCGCGATTCGCTCGGTGGCCGCGATTGCAACTTGGCCGAGAAAACGCCATGCATTGCGTAGGAAATAGCACACATTCCAACCACTGAATATCTTCAAACTGAACAGGCTCACCACAAGTGGACTGTATGGGGACGTGGCCACAGCGCCTCGTCGCATGTCCTTATTTGGCAAGTCATCTGTCACCGACAGGCTACACACAAGACACATTCACAGTAGCCTGTTGTATTTAAGAGTACCATCCTATTCCTCAGTTTGTAACCGAAGCTTTATTTTCATTTCCAATGTCATAGCCACACGGAGGCGGGACTAGTTCGTAGGCAACATAAGTAGGTTACTTACCCGCAGTGGGTGCATGTCACAGCGTGACTAAGTGACTGTTGCACGTTGCGCGTTGCGCGCAACGCCCCTCCCAGTCGATCGAACGTTCTCGGCGACACTCCTCCATCACGTGCGTCGCACAGATCGTAATCTGCCTTCGCCATACTTATGATGTAAGTTCCTAGTCCTTTTTATTCCCGAGCTTTAAACCTCACCAACGGAGGACTTACGACACTAAAAATCACACACAATCCCACACAAAGCTGCTGGTAGCCTCGCCATCATGTGATACGTAAATATACTAAATCATGCATACTACAGTGCCACCTTATGATAAGTAGTACATCATGATGATCTCGAACTCCGACACGTCTGTCACTGGAGAGAAGCATGGACTCGTCCACGGAGGGAACAACACAATGTATGTACGTGGAGTCGCGATGTATGAATTCTAATTTCTTCTTCCGTTAACCACAACGATTCACACAGACAGTGCCGGGATGCACATGCCGCCACTGAACTGGCAGCAGAAGTACGAGAGTCCGTAGTTGAAGGCTCGGCTTTGTACTGCGTTGATTCTGCGCCGATAATGAACGTCGTCATATCGTCGTGGGCGGCGCGTCGAGTCCGCCAGAAGCGATCTAGGATCAGCACGTCGTGACTGCCACCCGCACTGGCATGGCCTCTACCCACGACGGGTCCGTGTCTTTCGGGATAACCTCTTCGGGCGGGTCTCTGATGCATTGAGAGCGCGCTGCCAGAACCGATGCTCATGGCAGGTCGGGATCGCCACCCTGAGTCGCAAGCTGTGCGTGTGGCCGGGTGCTTCAGTCTTCCACACGGCGGTCTTGTCAGTCCTAGCGTGCACAGCCCACCTACGCGGCCACGATGAGACATCGCCCACTATGCTCAGCCTCAGTCCTTCGAGCGGTACGCCGTCTGGACGACTTATGTGAATTGAGGTAAGTACCGACGGGAAGACATCGCCGTCTCGACACTGCATTGCCCGGACGATCCACGGCAAGATCAGATGCATGACCGCGTAGCGTGGCTCTTCTAATAGCTATCTTGTCGTCGATATCCAGACAACATGACTGCTCCAGGAGCGGGCAGCGGAAGCCCGCGGCGATGCGTCAGTTGCCCGCCCTGCCCCACTCGCAAGCCGACTTGAAGGATGCGAGCCGTTCCAGGACGGCGAGCTCTCCCGTGTACACTCGCGAGAACAGTGAGCAAAGGCCCGCGCGCCCGGAGGGGACGCGTCGTTCGCGACGAGCTGGATTCCGAATGTAAGCGGTGCACTCAGTTTGCATTGGCCGTAAGTGTCATGCGCGAACGCGTTCGAGACACCGGAACAGATGGGGTAAATCTTTGAATTGGCTGATGTGGCTAATACAGTAATGCAATTTGATACATAATGTCAACGTCCGTTTTTCTGCCTGTACGTAGGATCACTATGCACAAAAAAGCATGATGTTGCTACATGTCGCCTTACTATTATCATAAACGCATCAAGAGCTATACTGCCGTTGTAGTAGTACTTATGCTGTTATCACTCTCTGGCTGCTGTTGCAAGCCCCATTGATCATCCACGGCGGTGTGTAGAGGAACCGCTTTCATGAAAAGGCTCGAGACAAACCCGAGACCACCGACGGCTAGGAGGACTTCCCAGACGACCTTAAGGCTGGCTGCGAAGGCTTCCCGGACCTCTGTACGTAGTGGTTCCGGGAGACTTGCTATGGCAGGGATCGTGGCATACGCAACGACTGTCCCTTCCGGGAACTGGGCGATGAAGGTGGGCGGTAAGTGTCTTTGAAGCTCGTTCTGAAGGACAGTTCCGCCGATCGTGACTCCCCAGACCTTCGACCACCTGTCAGTGATGGAAATTATCTCGACGAGGAGTGCAGTCACGTACCATAGCAAAGTTACGCAGGAACATGAAGAACGCAATGGCGAGGCCGTTCTGGGAGACGTGGACTAGCAGTACGTCGTGTCAGGAGACTGCGGAGACGGTCCGAAGAGACGACTCACGCGGCGCAAGTACAGGGAAGTACGTCGAAAACGCCAGCAGTCCACAGCCAAGCGCACACGGTACGAGAAACCCGATGGTATGCCCGAGGGGCGTGTCCGCATCCAAAGTGATGAGTAGTCCCGTGCCGACCATCAAGATGATCCAGGCCGTCCATAATGGTACCCGATAGCCGCCTGTGCGATTGACGAACGCGCCTCCGAGAAGACCTATGGGCGCGATGACCAACGAGAAAGACAGCGCATCTACGCCAGAACCGATTGCAGAGGCGCCTTTGCATGCTTGTAGGTAGACGGGAATGTAATCTGTAACAATCGATTAGTGTGCGTTGTGCACGCCAGAACAGCGGGAATCCTCACAGATGACTCCGATCATTACTACTGGCATGAGGAACGTCTGCATGTAACCGCTGATTCCCGTGATCGTGGACAGTAATGCAGAGGGCACCTATCAATAGATAAGCTTAGGACGCATGGACGCTGGTCAGAGTGATGCGTACCAGTGGATGTTCCGGGAAAATACACTCGTACATAATGAATACCACCATACCTACGAGACCGATTATAAGAGGCGCTAGCACCGGCGCCGAGCTCCAGGAATATTGGACGCCGCTCCAGGTGAGTCCGATGACGCAGGCAGTAGTCGCGGCAATGACAAGGAATGTCCCACTTCGAGTTGAACTCGGCGTAAGTATGCAATGATACTACATGGAAGATTACACTTACAGCCAGTCGATCCTGCGTACCTTCTCCTTCAGGGTCCCTGGCGGTGCCCGGACACGCAAGAAGAGGATCATGATGGCGCCAGCTACCCCGCATATCGGGATGTTGAGATCTGTGCACCACTGGTATGAGTGCGTTTCCTCTCGCGAGCGTGAACTTTACTTACAGAAGAGCCACCTCCACTGACCCTTCTGAGCAAGGGCGCCGCCAACAATGGGTCCGATCCCACTGGCCATCGCCCAAGCACTGGAATGGGACACAATGAATGATTCATCCATCATCGCCAGGGGTAAGACTTACATCCCAATCAAACCGTTGTAAATACCACGTTCACTGAGGGGCACGAGGTCGGAGATGATGATGGCAGTCGTAGCGGAGATTCCTCCACCACCGAGCCCCTGGACCGCTGTCGTGCGATTTTTATCAGTGCACAGGATGAGGATCTACGAGTACAGAACGTACTTCGTCCTGCAATCATATGGGTCATGTTCTTCGCAGACCCACAGAGGGCACTGCCTAGAGCCATGATCGCCAGAGATGACAGGATCACAATGCGTCTTCCGAAGATCTGTGGGAATGCGTAAGTACTGTTGGCGCGGCTATCGTTTGACTTCATGGATGAACACACCTGGGAGAGACCTCCGCTGAGGGGAATGAAAGCCGTCCCTGCCAGTGTATACGCCGAGCCGACCCATATGAACGATGAGCCATGCAGATCCTGGGTAATGGTTGGGAGTGCAACAGAGACCGCAGACTGTTCGAGTATCAGTGAGCGGTGTGGTGATCACCGAATCGAGTGGGAGAAGCGAACGCACCAGCTCAAGAGCAGTAATCATTGTGGCTATCCCAATACCAAGAAAGACGAGCCAGAAGCGTGCGTCTAGAGGCTGTCTTTCCTGATCGACTGCCTTCGAAGCCAGGGCTAGCTTGGACTCCTTCGCGTCAGGTAGTGATACAAGGGAGTTATCATGCGTGCCCGTGGTCATATCGGTAATGGAAAATTATGGGAATGAGACTGAAATAAAATAGAGATAGGATAAGAGAAGTAGCAAAAAGTGAGATCAGGAAAAGAGGGCGGAAGAAAGGGCCTCGACGAACAAAGCAAGGGGGCGAAGTAGATGTCAAGTGCAGATGAGCTTGAGTTTCTTATTCATGACGATCATGGGCCTATCAGCCAGTGGCACGGTGAGCGGATGACGCTCACGATCAAAACACAAAGGACGCATAGCAATAGTACGTCCAATATCATCCCTGCGCGCCAGTTCTGAACAATGAGACACGATCACTGTTGGCGCTCGAGCCGTCTGATGCAGAGGTTGACCGTCACTGACCGGGACGCCTTGCTCATCCAATGCTTCCTGTTAGCGATGCACTTGTCCTGTATCAAAGCTACTGTGAATATGAAGCTCAGAGTGTGTAAACACATACGGCAGTGTCGGCCCGTCCGCAACCAGTAGTGTTAGCTCCGAGTCCTTGATCAGTTCGACAAGTGATTCAAGCTAAGGAAGGGCGTATCAGCGAGCTGTCCTGCAGAAGACAAGCACAGGCAGTGCTCGGTGTTGGAAACAATGATGCGAGGCGTCGGACTCAGGCTCGACATTCGTGAAGGCCCGGTGAAGGTGACGTGCTCTCAGCTCTGAATTCCTTTGACAGCTGGCAACTTGAGGACCGGCATGACTATTTGGTCCACCACGTAGCGAGATAGAAACAACAGTCAGAATCTGAGAACAGTTTCGCATGAGGCGTGTCAGTAGGTGGGTGTTCTGCAACTCGGCTTGGCCTCGGCTACTGAGGACAGCCACCGGAGAGATCTCGATTGTGGCCCCGGCGGCGGCATAGATTCCAGATTCCAGATCTACCGTTCAATTCGTGCACGTGACACAGGTTGCTGTATGTTTCGTGGTGGTGTTGCAGCTTGCTACGATAGATTCTATGTAATAAGATCACGACGATACCACGACGATACCACGACAGAGTCGCATCACCATATTATTTGGTCTGCTCTCCAGCTATGTCTACGATTATCGTAAAAACCCTCTCAGTTATCGTTACTTGTCCTAAGCTCATGATTGGGTTACGATAATGTGGCCATGAGAATCTGAGATAGAGACCCGCCCATTGAACTTCATGGCGAAGGTAAGTGAATCAGTACCAAGATCCCTAACAAAGTGAAGACGGACACGTCTGTATCGCCGACGTCGAAAGCTATCTGTGTAATCGAGAGTGCACGTGGCTTCAATACCCTACAGTCATGTGTAGCAACATATAATCTACCCAACTCTACGCCTGCGGCACGTACATATAGACCTGTGACTGGATCTCTCCATCTATACCTTAATACACTCGCGGTGGTCACATGCAACATCGAGCACAGCTGCACGTCCGAGCTAGTTGACATCCGTGCGCCATTGTCTTCCCTCTCCCTCATCCCGCCTGCCTGTTGATACTGAACCTAACATATGTTCTATCTCGCAGACCGGATTAGGCTGCAGCCGTTTTCGAGCGACTGAAGTCATTCCGCATCGCCAGCTCAGTCTTGGATTACTATCGCATCGGTGTACGTACTCTGAGACACTCAAGACGATCATCTGCAGATTCTGCACCCTGCCCTGTGTACCACGCGATGCCCCGTGTATACAGAAGCATTGCCGCGGTCCAGCACACCACACCACCATCCGTGCGACCCTCCCCACATATCTACGCCTTTCACAAACAGCTCCCGGGATATACGCCAACACCTCTTGTCTCGCTTCCCTCCGTTGCGCGCGAGCTCGGTATCGCCCACGTTCTGCTCAAGGACGAATCTTCCCGCTTCGGTTTGCCGGCATTCAAGATTCTAGGAGCATCGTGGGCCACTTGTCGAGCTGTTGCGCGTCATCTAGGACTACCATGGGAGCAAGATGCCGTCCCTTCGCTGGACGAGCTGTCAGCAATAGTGCGAAGCAAGGGCGTCAGTCTCACGCTCTTCGCCGCGACAGAAGGGAACCACGGGCGTGCAGTCGCTCGCGTCGCTCAGCTACTTGGGATCAAATGTGCGATATATGTTCCGCGCGACATGCCCCATGCCACAAGAGCCTCCATTGCGTCGGAAGGCGCTCACGTCGTCGAAGCTAGCGGAGACTACGATCTCGCAGTTCGCCAATCTCATACCGCGGCGAATGCCTGCGACGGCGGTCTGCTCATCCAAGACACAGCGTTCGACAATTACGAAGAGATCTGTCAGGTCAGTCGTTAAAGCGCGCGTCATGTACTAAGACGATCACTGACAACGAACGTAGTGGATCGTCGATGGCTATTCGACTCTTCTTCGTGAAGTCGACGACCAAGTCGCCGAAGTGACTGGCAGACGCACTCCAGACATCGTCATCACACCCATCGGCGTGGGCTCCCTCGGACAAGCGGTAACGACCCATTACAAGCAGCCTGACCGCGAGGCGCGAACCAGAGTCGTTACCGTCGAGCCGGACACGGCATCGTGCCTTAGGAGGAACCTCCTCGATCGCCAACAAGCTGATACGCCAGAGACGATCCTCAGAAGCCATACCATTATGGCTGGCTTAGACTGCGGCACCGTTTCTACAGTCGCATGGCCGATTCTCCGAGATGGCGTCGACGTGGCGCTGTCCGTAGCCGACATTGAAGCGCATCGGGAGGTCGAGAACCTGCGCGCAGAGCATGTCGAGATAGGCCCGTGCGGTGCCGCCCCTCTCGCAGCGCTCCGCCGGCTCGCCGCTGAGACCGGCTCGGATCTGCTCAAACCGGACAGCATCGTAGTTCTCCTCGCCACCGAAGGCGCGCGGGACTATCACACGCCCCTCGACACTACGACGACCGACCCTGTGACGCTGACACAGATCCTCACCCAAATCGATTCATCCAACCCCGACCTCAGCGAAGGCGCGGGCGCGGGCGAGACCGGAATCGCCGACTTTCTCTGCGGCTGGCTGGCGCATCACGACTTCGAGGTGCACCGCCTCGAAGGCACGCCTGGGCGCCCGACGGTGGTGGGCGTCGCGCGGGGTAGGGGCGGAGGCCGCTCCTTGATCCTGAACGGACATGTCGACACGGTCACGCTTGCCGGATACGCCGGGGACCCTCTGAGCGGTGGAATCAGGGATGGCGCTGTCCATGGGCGCGGTACGTTCGATATGAAAGCCGGAATCGCCGCGTCTCTGGTGGCTGCCCTTCGAGCGCGCGAAACACAGACATTGCGAGGGGACATCATCCTAGCATTGGTCGCGGACGAGGAGAATTTGAGCATCGGGACAATCGAGCTTCTGGCTGCGGGTTGGCGAGCAGATGCTGCCGTGGTGAGCGAACCGACCGAACACGGCCTCATGCTCTCGCACAAAGGCTTCGTGTGGGCCGATGTGGACATCCTCGGGAAAGCCGGACACGGCTCTCGTCCGGACTTGTGCGTCGACGCGATCGTGAAAGCGGGCCACTTCCTCGTCGCCCTCGAGAAGTATGGCCAGGATCTGATCGCTGGCCGAGTGCAAGGCTCAGCGGTGCATCCGAAGGTCGGGACCGGCACAGTGCATGCCGGCATTATCAAAGGCGGCGAAGAGCTCACCTCATACCCTGCTCTCTGTACGGTTTCGGTCGAGCGGAGGACAGTCCCGGGCGAGACGCCTGAGGTCGTCGAGAGGCAACTTCGTGCGATCCTCGACCATCTAGTCGAAACCGTGCCGGATTTCCGTTACTCCCTGCGCATGGGCGAATCCCGGGCGCCATACGAGATTGACGAGGGCCATCCGTTCGTCCGGTTGTTTGAGCGTCACGCACAACAGATCCTCGGCCACAAACCTACAGTTCTAGCAGGAACGTATTGGACGGACAGCGCTCTCCTTGCAGAAAAGGGGATTCCTACTATTCTGTTCGGTGTGCAAGGAGAGGGGGCCCACGCTGCCCGAGAGTTTGCCTCTGTCCGCAGCGTTGGTCAGGTCACCAACATTTTGACGGACGTCGCGACTGACTTCTGTAAATAACGCAAAGACGTGCTGACATTTCATGAGAAGAACACATAATCGTCGACACACACGCATGGCTGCTGAGAAACGTTTCCTGTAGCGCAGCGACCAGTAGCTACAGCCTACATACGACCAACGTGTGCAACGTTCATTTCCCGCTGTCGTCGAGCGCTCCGATCACTGACTGGCAAATGCCTATGACGCCTCCTCCAATGTCGTGATGATCATCAACTCACAACGTTGACAGTCATATCTCTGCAGCTCATCATGATCACAGCTGCGGTGCGAAGTATCGCCGTCGGCACCTGTCAACTTGCAACTCGGATGTGCCATCAGGTGTGCGTCAATGCGGTGAGCCTATCCTTGTTCTGTACCCTGATAGAGCACCATGTAATCGCTGCAATGTCATTTCTGACAGCGACTGCACACATTCTTTCGGAAGTCACTGCAGCTTCTCGGGTTACGAGTCGACGCTGATCAGGCAATCCACAGAGCGACCTACAGAGTGATAGTATGTAGCTCAAGTGCGCAGTTCCACTGTCGCAGTATGTCATTGGACATCATAAAGTTATGCAAGGCAGACAAGGCAGATGCCGCAACACCTGCACCAGCACGATCTCTACACGACACTGGCCTTCTGTACGTGCGTAAAACACGAGCGCTAATCACAAGTCGCTCTACAGGACACTGCACACATATGTCCCCATGCGCGGATCGTCCGGGATCCTCCTCCTCAGACGCCTGTAAAGCATGTTCTTGGTGCGCCACTCCGAAACCTGCTGTTTCCATGCGCCGATCTCGCCAAAGGCTAAGGCTTACTCCGTGGTCCACAACTTGAATGCGATGAGCATATGTGACATACCTTAGAGGTGAGCACATGCACGCGGCGAGTCGTAGTTAATTTGGGAACAAGGTCGCTACGCTCCGTTTTCGCATCGGCCTCGATGCGTCGATATACACCTGCGAAGTAATGCGTCTTGGATGCGTCCGAGCAAAACAGAAAAAGAATCACATGTGATGCATGATGTTCTCCGCTCAGCTCCGGAACTCGCATCCAAATGGTCTACTACTGATTTCACCGCAGTTGTTCTCGTGCGCCGCCGTCGAGTCTTCGTCGGTGTGATACAATCTGCTGCGAATTGACTCAGTGGCGCATTCGTGATGGCGCGCAGGACTTGCGATTTCCAGACTGGACTGGCTACGTCGACAACTCTCCACTGCTATCATGATCTTGAAATGAAGCTACAGCATGTCCTATCGCGTCTGGTCAGTATCTGCTCCTCATCCATCATTCCTATGTACTTCTTCTCACAGCAACAGTAAAATGCGTTGTTCCACTTTGCCACTGTCGTCTTCGCCACCCTGGCCACGGCCACCAACGTAGCCGGCGATGAACGCTTCGAATGATACAGCGACTACGAATGCAAGAGTAGGTCGCTCGAATTCCGTTCTATGGACATCATGGCTTATTATGTATCGCTCCTAGAATCTATCAGTACAGCATGCAGCGCTTCACATGGCAAGTGCTGCACTCCTGGAGAAGCGGGAGTCAACTCAGTCTGGAGAGCCGCCAATGACGGCGCTAGCCAGAGTAAGCATTTGCTTCCTGAACAAAATCATATACCACTCGTATTGACATATGGACATAGTCAGCTTCGTGATTTATGCCAACGCAGACTGCCAGAACCCCGTTAACCCTACGACTCTAAAGGGCCTTGGTGTCGGGGGCTTTCCGGGGGCCTCAATATGTACTCGTTCAAGCCGTGTGTACCCGCCTGTACGAGGTATGTGACATAACTGACAGTTTATAAGCAGTACTGATCAGAGAGCCGGCTCTGAGTGAGAACTTGAAGCCTGGGCACAACCGTACGATGCCAGAGACTGTGCTTGTCACATGTAGCCGCACCGAACTCGACTCTACAACGAACGAGGCGCAAGCGCTTGTCCAATATCTGCTGCCAAGGAGCATCCGACTTCGACCACCGCGAGAGATATTGCAGACGGCACCGCAATCACACGAGACAGATGAAGACGAGTAGGACTCCTTACACTACCAACCAGCACGTTGTCTACTTGTCGAGCAAGTCAGACACGATAGAAGGGTATCGCTGGGGCTCCTCGAGGAACGCGACGTGGCTGCTGTTGGCAAATTGGATCCACTTGACGCGATTTACCTTGTCGAAAATGGGTGCGACGCTCGCGTCGTGCGCTTCGTCCATGCGCCCATTGGTGAACAGCGTCGGGATGCAGATGGTGTGCAGCTGATCGACGCACGACCAGGTCCGCAGCGTTCCGTTGACACACATTTCAGACGGCCCGTTCCTAGATCATGACCAATGACCGTCAATACGTCAACCAAGAGTAACAGACTCAGTGGCGGTACGCACATCGTCGTGGATACTGTGGGGTCCTCTTCCATGGCGGCAAACGACTGCAGCAGCTCCTTGGGCCACGGATATAGGGTGCCAGAGGTGCTTTTTGTAGAAGATCACGATTGCATCCTGGTAATCCTTGCTGTCCGTCGTCCCTGCTGCTTCATGCTGCTTCAACACCGCCAGTACGTCGGGCGGCAACTGCTCGCGCAGCTTATAGACGCCCTCCACCCACAGCTCCATCGACGGGGTGGCGCTCGCAGCGACGATGTGCTTCAAGCCTTTCGAGTAGCGATGCGAGGCGTGATGCAGGGCAATCATGCCGCCCCACGAGTGCCTTCTGCCTTCGCCACATTTAAGTGAGTCACATTGAACACCATACACCAACCGAATACTTACTGCACTCAAACTCCCACACCGAAGCGGTTGGTAGCCTCTCCATGCGATCCGTGAATATATGAAGGCGCCTCATGGTATATGGGCTCGAACTCCGAAGGACTTGCAAACTATCGTCGCGCGCATCCCGGACCCAACACAATGTGGTTTAGCAACCCCCATGTCCAGGAGAAGTGGCTGCCATTATCTTACGAGTGAAATTGCTGCTTCAGGTGAATGTTTAGCCACGCTCGCTATCGCACCCCTGCTCCTGTCCACCGCATCTGCTCTGGAGTCACCGGCGTTCCACGCACCTAGGTCGCGCGCACACGCCCCGACCGAGCCTTTCGAGTCGAAGGTGCACCCACTGCCGTCCTCCGGTGCCCTGTACGCTCGATTCGCGTGCTCTTTGCCGTCGACCACTGCGGGCCACCTCCAGTACATCGCCCCTTGTGTTCAAGCGTCTCAAGGACGATTGTGCCCTACGCAGTCCCGCACACCCCTTGTCACCAGATACACATCGTGGCGTTGTATACGATCTCCGCTCCCAATGTAGACACCATTTTTCTCCAAGGTGCGGATCAATAGCTGCTCGGCCCTCACTGACAACCTCTCCGCCCACGTCTTCCGCCCTCTCTGTCGATGCCCAACGTCGAGGCCGTCTTCCAAATTCTGTGCCGCGATTCCGCAGACAACGCCTTGGTTGTCGGAGCAGCTACGACGCACGCACCGCCATCCATCGTCTCGTCCTGGACCAGCCTCGTACGGCATCCCTCCATGCCTCGGGCCCAGAGATACGAGAGTCCGTGTTTGCAGACACGTACTTTCAACCGCGTTGGTCCTACGCTGGCAATGACCGTGTACATATCGTCGTGGGCGGCGCGTCTCCGTCAGAGGCGACTCTCTAATAGGATCCGGACGTCTGCCCGCACGGCCTCTACCCACGCGGAGTCCGTGTCTTTCGGGGCTGCGAGGCACACAGAGGCGGTTACACGAGACTGCGTCCGGGGAATGCCTCATTGGGGCCTCTGGTGCACTGGGCGGGCTCTGATGTATTGGGCGGGCTCTGATATCTGGCGCTGGCACTGGGGGGCCATGGCACGAAGCCGACTCCCGAAGGGAGGCGGCTGAGTGTCTAGCAAGTGTCGGCTTGTAGAGTTCCTCTATTTACACCCAAACTGCAAGAAATACATTCGATAGACAAATCATGGGAGTGCTACGTGTTCATCTGCATCTACATCATTCAACATAGTGGACGTCTTGATGTTTATGTCGTCCGCGCCAATGTCAACAGTGAGTGAGCGAGGGTCCGCCCAACCCTTGCTAGTGACTGCCCGTCTTGAAGAGGCCTCACTGGGTATCACTGTGGTAGTAGATCGGATGCCGAATAGTTCGTGAGAGCCCGATTCGAGAACATGTTTGATGGTGTCTCTTGTATTCAGCCTGTATAAAATGGTCGCGTCAGTCGCGTCAGGAAGAGCGTAGAAATACGTTCGCCGATTGCCTACGTTGACACCAGTGAACAGGAATACACTACAGATGACGAGTGAGACACTTCCATGGCAGAATAGAGTTGTCGACGTACGGCGAATAAGGACCCAGTAGAACACAGCGTAGATCAGAGTGTCTGTTGAGGTATACCACTGTGTAACATGCCGTCATCATGAGCGAGTATCATCATGAGGGCTCTATCTCGACCCACAAAAATGAAGCAAATCACGGTGAACACTCTGGAGCTCATTTAGCTATGGACTGATAAGCTTGTGTGCACCAGCACTCACGTTGTAAGAAGACCTGTCATCGTCATAATTGGTATCACTTCGTGACGGAAGTACAGTGAAACATGCCCTACAAGTATTCAAAGCATATGTGACAAGAAGATTGAGCACTCTGTTGGTCCTGATAGTCCAATCAATTGTAAGTTAAAGCAAAACTTGTGAAGTAGACTGCCGCACTTAGCGAATTGGGTGCGTTTCTTCAGGAGGAAGAACATCATACTAGCAGCGATGAGCGAGTCGCAAACGATGTCAGCAATGAGGCCTGCAGTCACGTAAGGCTTGGGGTAATACGACTCAGGTCTCGTTCCCAGTCATATATCGATAACAAACGCACCAACGCCTTTTGCGATGCATCAAAATAATGATTCATGTATCTGGAGGAGGCTTCGGTTAGTCAATGGGATTGAGTTATGGCATTCATTTCATACCCCACGGCGGTGTATGCTGATGTAAGTGTGGCAAGTACGAATGTCAGTTTCACGCCGTGCGTTAGTGATGTCAAGAAAAGCAAGCACCGGCAGAGCAACCTGGTAATCAACAGTTCAGCAATTCCAGAATGCGGTAGATCAGCAACTGACCAGTCTGTACCAACGAAATGACACACTTCGTATCCACCCACGTAAGTCGTCAGGTCCAGACGTAGGGCTGGGAAGGCCATGCACGTACTATTGCTATCGGCAACCACAACAACTTCCCGCTGACTATAGGCATGACGTTAAACGATGCTTTGCGCGTCTCACTGGTATAAGAGCGTAAACTCACGGTTATATAGGCGATATGCAAAGAAACTAGCATGACCAGTGTAGCGAGTATGACGACGGGTGACAAATGTAGAATACCTACAACTGTGTCATGGCGCTTAAGATACCCTAGGTAGCGTATTAGTAACACATAGTAATTTTGTCATGAATATGTACTCACGCCAACAGTGTTTTGTGCCTGTGATTGCCTTAGTACATGCGACACAGACGAAAAGAGTATTCATACCGATAAACTCCTGCGACCGCGACCAGCGTCAGATGGCGATTGAATCTATACTGCATGTTTACCAAGTATCTCCTTGAAGCCTTCCGAAGTCACCGAAGTGGGTTACGGTATAATAGTAATAGGTGATCGCCAAGAGTGCAACATGCAAGGTATCGAAGCCCCTTGATAGTAGTCAGTGATTGCAGCCACATCAGGATATAGGCCGGAATCAAAGTGAGTTCTTACAACAGGAGCGAGACCTGCCAGTATGCCGTGAGCCTCAGTGTCGAGCGATTGAAGCAAACAATCATCCTACATATACTTTCATACCACGACCGTCGTCGCGACAATGTTTGGTGTAGTAGAGATATACTTGCAAACACGTGATGCCGTAAATTCTGTAGGAGGAGTTACGATGAGCGCTTCCGGAGTCTGCGACACACGTACATGGTGGATAGAACGATGCCAATGAAGACAGCCCCGAGAAGACCGTCCAATGCTGGCGGAGAACTCATGGCCTCGAGTCAGTAATCACAAAATGCAGAACAGCCGAGTACTAGTAACGAGTCCTAGCGCCTAGGAGGTAGTGCTGAGGGTTGAGATCCCTGAAGGGCGCACCCGGATATATGTATTGCTTGTTCACGAATCTGCGACGCTAGATTGATACTGATTAAGTCACGTTTGTTCGTAGACAGTCCTGTGCTCACTTGATTATCAAGAACAACTTGAGGCGTACTCATCGGATTTCTCGCCTGTCAGGCTTTCAGGCGTGATAGATGATTTGAGGATTAGAAAGGTACACGTATTAGTCGGGTTCGTGCGAGGTGTGGTCGGCGATGCGATCGTATGATAGTGCGTCTCAAGTTGACTTCCATCCGAATCAGACATCACCTGGCAATTCGTGGCATTTGAAAAATACATGCATGACAGATGAGTCGCGTTGCCTCCAATCAGCGGTATTCAGCACGCTGCTGACTCGGAGAATATGAATGTCATCTGGACAATACCACAGCAGTGACATCCCTGACATACTGATAGTAACACGTCTACACACCTCAGACGGGACCCAGGGCAGTTATCTGAATGATTAGAAGTCGGCTTGTTAATACGAGGTCGCCTTCTACCCCTGAGATGCCGTGTCAAAAGTGTGGTACTATGTGGAACGGAACAATGATGGAAATGCGAAGGACGGAGAGGAATCAAGCTCGTCGCCGAAGTTGGACGTGCGGCCAACCGCTGCCTTCCTTGCGTAGCATAATCTAAATTAACACTGCATATGAATATGGACAATTGTCGATGGTTGCATAACATTACGTATTAAGGCGACCATGTACAGTACCGTATCAAGGCCCGTACAGGACAAAAATCCTTTCGCTACTGACCTATATAGTCCTCAGGGAACCGCCACTGAGTGAGTCTGTGATATCGAGCAGCATCCTATCAGACCACAAGGTTTCTTACCAGAACATACGGTTCAGTATCGGACACTTCCGAATCTCTTCTTTATCTTTGTGTAACCTCAGGAAATCAGAGGTTGGCTCGGAATCGAAAGGGATCTCAAGCACATAGGTCATATCCTATCATATCCTATCGGATCCGGTACGTTCCTGTCATAGCCGTCCCTTCATGTCCTGTCACAGCCTGTCCCATCATGTCCGCCCACGTCCAGTCCTATTCCTCCAGTTGTGTGCCCGTCCTGTACGTACACGTTCCGAGCTCGCATGAATGATGGGGCTGGACTAAAAGCTGCTATCTATCTACGCATACATGGCCGCTCATTCAATATCCGGCATGGAATGGCATACACACCTCCATTCCTGTCAGCTCTTGTTCGTTCCCATCAGTTCTCGTCAGTTCCTGTTCGTTCCTGTCCGTTCCTGTCCTGTCATTTCCTGTCGCTCCATGTAACTTCGCAGGAGATCCTTCATGATCCTGTATGATCCTGTACAATCCTGTACGGTCCTGTACTTACTACTGCCTGTGATTTCCGGACACCGAACCAACACAATTTCTCAGGCTAGCTGTGAGTTGCCCGAGTCAGTCAGATTCAACACCTTCACCCCCGCTGTCAGTGACCTGGCGACACTTCCCGGTGTTTCTCACTTCTCTATCCATGGCTGCTGTCCTCAATCACATACGCACATCGTTCCAGATCCTCTCCCGAGACATTCACTCTGTGCTTGAGGCCTCTGATGCTGTTGGTCACGTTGAGATCTTCACACAACGACAGGAAGATGTTCTCCGCCTTCAGGCTTACGCAGATCAGGTGAGCCTTCGTTCTTTTACCTCCTTTTACCTCGGGCTTTCGACTGACACTGAATGGCACAGGAGCATGTGTCTATCCCTCAGGATGAGTTTCTCAACCTCCAACACAGTGTCACGACTATGCTCCATGCACTCGACGACGCCATTATCACGCATCTGACCCCGGCTGGCAACCACTCAAGTTTACAAGCCATTCGATTCCGACATCGAGTTCTGTGCGACCGCACGGCATGGGTGTTGCTCCACAGCATTGCAGATTACTCGGAAGTGCTGCCCATCCACCGGGAAATGGCACTGCGCTTGTTTGCGGATGCCGAGGAGGTACGCTCATTTCGTTCATTGTCTTTCTTCGGTCTAAGCTAATTGTTTGCAGAATCATGCCATCATTCCCCCAGACGAGCTTGCGAACCTCCGTGCAAGTCTCACCAGCGTTGTCAATAGCATCGACAGCACCACGGAGAATCTCACCCGTTCGAATACCCTTGTCGATAACATCCGCTCAGCATATTTTGTGCTGTGTGATCGGGTTACGACAGCGGCTCAGACCCAAGTTGGGGATGCAGACAGGTTGATGCAACAGAGGGAGGAGGTATTGCGGTTTTTGGCTGAGGTGGAACCTGTACGCTCTCTCGATGCCCTTAGATTTATTCAATTCAACTGATACAATGACTTCTCTCTGCGCAGCACTGCACGCTCTTTCGCCCTGTGGAGTTCAACGATCTCCGGCTTGGCGTCTCAAATATGGTTGAGGTCCTTGATGAAGCGGTGCACCGCTCGTCTGATCCGCCAGCAGGCCCGCCCATAGTCATTGCTGAGCGTGTGCGGACTGGACGCCGGGGGCGCCCACGCGTAGAGATCAACCCCTCATTCCTTGAGACTGGCTTACAGATGCGGGGACCTCTGGGCTTGGCGCCTGTCTTCAGCTGTTCAAGTCGCACTGTCCGTCGACGTGCCCTTGAACACAATCTCGTCGAACCTGGAGCACCTGTCATTCAGCAGGTCACAGATGCATCCGGGACTGTCACCCGCACTCATACATCAACCACGCCACCTGTCTCTACGCTATCTGATGGCGAACTTGACACTGTAGTCAGTTCCATCCTCGCCGTGTTCCCCAACTTTGGGCGTCGCATGCTGGCTGGCTGTTTGCGTTCTCAGGGCCACCGTGTTCCTCGTACGCGCCTCTTAGCGGCCTATGTCCGTGTGCATGGCATTACCGGTAACATCTTCGCTGATCGGCGCATTCACCGCCGAATATACAAGGTGGCCGGCCCAAACGCACTGTGGCACCACGATGGTCAGCACGGTGTGTATTCACTAGAAGCTGTTGAACTCTTAGTGACGCAATACTCACAATGTACCTTCTTCAATTTTGCAGGGCTCATTCGATGGAAATTGGTCGTTCATTGCTTCATTGACGGCTGGTCCCGGTACATTGTCGGCATCCGCGTACATAACAACAATCGGGCCGAGACAGTGTTGCTTCTCTTCCACCATGCACGCGCTGATTGTGGAGATCCCAGTCGCGTACGTGGTGACCATGGAGGTGAGAATGTGCTCGTTGCTCGGTGGCAGGATGAGCATCAAGGTCATGGGCGGGGATCATACATATGGGGCAGGTCAGCATTGTCGTACTACCCAGAGATCTGGAGCTCACAATTACCTATCTATCCAGGAGCGTCCACAACACTCGTGTCGAGCGCTTATGGTACGACTTCACCCGTGGCGTAGGCCAGAAGTGGAAGAACTTCTTCCTTCAGCTTGAGCACAACGCAGGTCTCCATTCTTCCCGCCCTGCGCACATCTGGCTCGTTCACCATCTGTTTCTTGGGAATATCAACGCCGATGTCTATGACTGGGCAGCGTCTTGGAACAGCCACTCCCTCCATGAGCGGCACGTCACAGACCGCTCTCGTAGTCCGCGCGACCGCTTCATCTTCGGAATGATCGAGAATGGGCCACGAGGTATTGGGAATCACCAAGACATTCGTGTCCAGCGACGCGAACCCCTCCACGATGCCATTGATGACCCACAGGCGTATGGCATTGACTGGGATGTGCTAGACGATCCGATGCTCATGGCGCACCATCTCAACAACAACCCGGATGAGTGGGAGGCAGCTAACCCTTTCTCTCCAGGGTTTACACGCCCTAGCGAGTTGTCTGTGGTCGAATGTGAGGCGCCAAATTGCCCGTTCACACCAGCTGAGGTTGCTGCGTTGGATGCAGAACTTGCTCTGCGTGTCAACCGTTCATCTCGAGACATGGGCATTTGTCGTCTCGTCTGGGTCGAGGCTCTTAGGATATGCCAGCAGATGTATGCTATTGATCCTGAGTGACGTCAATTTATGTTTTCCATTCACGTTCTCTATGCATGCTCTCGATTATCCCCCTACGGGGCACCTGCAATTTGGCCTATGAAGTCTGGAAAGCGTTGGAATCAGCATCATCCCGGTGCAGATGCCAGACTTGAGTGCACTTACGCCCTGAGGTCTTGTGGAAGACACGTAATCCCTCCGTACAGGTTGACTGTTTCATCGTCACCCAAGGGATCTGCTCATCGGTGTCGAGATCCTCCTCAATCCCACTGAAGTACGGCCCCTCAATGATGGCGCCAGCAAGCTTGATCAGCTGCTTCGGTCCCTCCGGTAGGGTGGCAAAGACATCTGCGCGGTTCAAGGATGGTTCGCGCGATACGCAGCTTCGAGATGCAGGTAGATGGGGCGAATGTTGGCAGCAGTGTTCGCCTCTACTCCTGCCCAGTTGAAGATCTCTTGATACGTCACACGAGCGGTTTTCCCTTGAACTCTGGATCCCACCAACTGAGGTGTGGATCCTGGTACGCGTGACTCCACGGTGCCTAGAGGGCTGTTCACAGGTATTCCAAAATGTGAGAAGATCGTCTTGAGCATTCGGAACCGGAACAACCACAGGTTCAGTGGTAGTCGTCGGTTCCTCGCAGTGTGTGACCGCCCCGGCCGAGCATGGCCCTGAAGTTGTTCCTGGCGACTTTGAATATCACGGATAACGCCCGACTCCGCAGTGAAGTGCTGCTCGATGTATTGTTGCAGGAGTATGGCATCCGCATCCTCCGCTGACACTGGCTGTGGCTGAGCGTGGCTGGTGGTCCCATCCGCATCGGACACGGGGAACGAGGCAATCAGTGGTTGTGCCAGGCTAGGTTCAGTGTTACTGCCCAGTCGAAGCGCACCCAGAGGGACTGCCAGTGCGGGATCTGCTGAACTTGTGGCCATGGAAGTTGGGCTCAACACCATCTATCGCCGTTCCATACTGTATAAGTGCGTAGCCACTGTGATTCAAGTGTAGTGTATGACTTACCGGATCATGATAACAGTATATTGCATAAATAGGAAGATGATCAGGGAGAGCGGGTTGAAGGTTCCGAGCGTGCTCGTACACTTCGGCATGGCTTGGAAAGTCAGGGCCCGTTCCACAGCTCTCGATGGTAGCGCGTCCAAGGGAGGTATTCAGAATGGCAGCAAGGTTTCCGTGCTCGCGGAAGCTGCGCTGGTAGCTGAAGTACTCGTCCGGTGAGTGTTCCGCAACATCGAGTGGGTGACGAGAAGTGCCAATGTAGGTGTGAGAGGCCCGGCCCTGCGCGATCAATTGTTGAATAAGTCGCCCTGGACGGGTGCGGCGAGGCTGGAAAGTAAATGTTGGAGTGTAAATGGGGGTTCGACCAGTACGATCTCGAGCAAGCTCTTTGGACGATCGACAATAGTGTCATCAAATCCGGTAAAGATGATAACAGTGACCGAAGACGAAGGTTGGGCACTGGTGGGCGGTTCAATCGGTACAGGCAGCGGGAGCGGTGGGAGCGGTACAGGCTCATGGGCAGACAAATGCGGCGGCGAGGCCGGTAAGTATTCATGGGTTCTTGGCTCGTCAGCGACACTTGCTCCGTTAATATTCTCGTCATCAGTCTGTTCAACATGATGGTTTGCTGCCGCCTCGGCTGCTTCACAACATGCATTGATTATCTGCTGTTGGATTCAGGGTGGAGGACGTACGAGTGGATGTGGATGTCGCATGACTACGTTCACGATAATTTTCCGGGGCTTCAAAATGAGTTCCAGAGAGCGCCATGAGACGCCGTAAGGTATCCTGTGCATCCAGTACACTGAAACCAAGGTGTGTATCTGTGCATACAAAAATGAGTGTCTAGCTGTGTCGCAATAATCTGTGGGTGCAATTACCGTCATTATCTGCGTTGCGATCTTCAGGTCCTGCCGGCGGGGTGCCTGTGTTAAGGCAATAGTATGTTTAGTATCCGGATGCTGCAGTGCACTAGGCCTGTGACTGACTGTACATACCGGTATCACTCATTGCACAATGAATTATGCTCACCAGGTCTATTTAGACGATGACTGGGTTCACGAACCCCAATTAGCTTCGGACAGTACTGGACATGTGATGTGAGCGTGATGGTGTCACCCACAGTAACCCACTGTGACACATGAGGCGCCGGGCTTAACACTCGTCCCGCTTGCAGCTTTGAAGATTAAGCCCCAGGATTTGGAATATATGATGTTGGATATGAGAACATGCATTTGGCACCAAAATTTAGTGTGGGCAATGAATATCTCCACCAGGGGGAGAGTAAGAACACGGCGGTGACAATGTGGCGTCGGCGCTTACACTTGTGTGGAGGCGCAGTTTCTACCCTGCTTGAAAGAGTGCGCGCGTGCAGAAAGCCATTCTGTACACCTCGCGTGAATGCATATTCATTAAACAAGTATCCAAGTGCCATAGATTATACATTTCTCACTTCTACGTAGGTCTCGATGACCATTTACAGTAGCTTCACGCACAGTTGGGCTTGCAGTCATGTACAGGAGCACATACATCGGGCTTGTGTGGCTCACACACGCGAGTCGTCCAGAGGCAGATTCTATTGGTAGCGGTACTGCTAGCACGACAACTACTAGCACTACTACCAAGGTACACCGCATAGTCCTGTTTGACACGATGGCACCAGGTCACTCTCCTCTCGTAACCGTACAGGGCCCTACAGCTATCCAGTCAATTGACGTGAACCGCCACACAGGTCTGGTTCAGGCAGTCCCATGAACCGCCACGGCCGTACTTGTTCCGATGAACCAAGAGCACTGCTGTTCCTGCGTTGCGCGGCCGGGCCGCGTCGAAGAGCCTAACACCCTGTCCAATGCCCCCGCCAGCTGATAACGTTGACAACGGGGCGCATCAGCAACACGCCTGTCCGTATTGACATTTCACGTAGCTAGTCCGAGACCGTGTCCGTGTGGCGCTCAGCATGTGCGGACATCGTCAGGGTCAACATCGGCATTTTACCCTGGAATGATTGATACTCACCTCATAGCTCGAATTGGCCCTGTCTGCCCATCTCGTCGTCCCGCGCACTGCACTTCTACACAACCTGCGCATTCCTCTGGCACCACCGTGCAATGCATTGAGGTAGGCTGGCCCTTGTCCGAGACGTCGCCACGGAGCTGCAAATGTACACGGATCAGCATCAGCAGGACATCCTTCTCTCTCTCAACACATAAAACTCACCCCGCATCTGGATCAACGTCGCCCGCGTATGGAAATCTCGAGGGAACCAGCAGCACTGCGTTAACAGGTGAGCCGACCATTCGTCACCAGCACTGCGTTAACAGGGGAGCCGACCATTTGCACCGTGGCAGGCGTACCTGTTCATGAAGCGGTAGACTGCGGTAGACGAGTCTATACATCAACAAGCCGTCCTCATGTCTGGAGGGTCGACACTCACCTTACAACATCCGGCGAGCGTGCAAGTCTTGTACTGTACGCCACGACAGTACGACAGTCGGAGAGGTCGCGAGGGCGCAGGAGAGGCGCTCCGGTCGTAGTGTCGATGAAGTAACCAACAGTCCCCGAAGGATGGTCCACCCACGCATAAGGAGCAACACCGCTCTGAGGGGACAGAGTGAACGTGTAGTTCGCCCCGAGAGTGATGGTCACCTGTGGGTTGACGAGCTCAGCGTCCGCGAGCGACAGAACGATGATCACGCCGAAGACAGCCGCGGCGAACTCACGTAGGACTCCATGAACACCGTCCGGCCATCCGCCAGCGTCGTCAAAACATTCAACAGCATCCAGGCGCTCGTTGGCGTCGCACCCTCCGGCAGGATCGCCCCGACGCCCTGCAGGCTCATGACCACCGAGACGGCGTCGAGTCATCAAATGAATCCTGAGTCCAAGGTGAGTATGCCTGGGCGTGTGACGTAGATTCATTCGATGCAGGACGGGGTACAAGGATAATGAGGTCGAGTTCGTCCTCGAAGACCTCGACATCTCGAGCTTTGCTCTGCTGCCCGGCCACACCTACATCCGGAGAAATACCGGCATTGACATCCAGGCGCTGTCGACTGGGCTGAGGAGCACCGCCATCGAGTCGCCCACCGGGATCTACATCCAGGCGCCAGTCGTACCCACCGGTGTGCGTGCCGGATGGTTGGTAGATACCGCCACCGCATACGCGCAGCTAGGTAAGCACAGGACACGTCAACCACGTGTATATTACAATCGAAGACACGAGGCTACTGACCATGTTATGAAGACCGAGGAACACGCTCTCGAGCACCCACCCCACCTTCTCCGTCGAGACGCTCACATAGGATGGGTTGAACGGGATGAGGTTCGTCCCCTTCGTGTACAACTCCTGTCCGCTGACCACGAGATGTCACTGATCACCAGGCGTGATCCCCCTTTCCGCGACGTCCTCTTCCCTGCATCGCGTCTGGAGCAGCTTGATTGCGCCGAGACCCAAGCGCACCGTGATCGACGCTGCCTCGATCGTGGTACCAAGGATGTCGCCGAGCGCGAGAGTGACCGTAATGCTGCACAGCCTCGGCACGCCAAGGTCTGCAGGCGTACACCCGGGCCACCGCGTGGGGACACCCTCTGCCGCGGCTATGCTTGCGGTGACGAACATCAAGATGAAGACTAGCGAAGAATGAGCGAGGAGGTATATCCGCTCGACCTCCTCGCCGCACCGAGCAGCTCCTCGGCCAGCATGAACGCGATGACGGTCGTCGCCGAGTACGGGCCGACGCGGTAGGGTCCTCGCCGCTGCACTGCCCGGATAGCTAGCAATACTGGGACATGGCACGGAGAGAGTGGAGGGGCGTGTCCGGGCAGGTTTGTACAGCCCAAAAGGGCTTCGCCCTCTTGTGCTGGCCCACGTGCGTGATCGCCGTGACGTTGCCCGATGCGCCGTGGACGATGAACAGAGGCGGGTCACCCTCCTCCATGCCGACGAATGTCACTATCGTCTGCAGCTTGGTGTCTTCCGCCGCCGTGCGAGGGTGCGACGCTTGGGCCGAGCTCGTCGAAGACGGCGCTGTTTCATGGAGCCTGTCGCAGAGAGCAGACATACTGAGCGCACCCAGGAGCTGCATCGAGCACACGAATAGATTCGGCCCGATGGCGAGGGCGGTGCGACCCACGGACAGGGAGTCGATCCCGTATGATGTCAGAGGAATTTCGGGGGAGAACTCATTGACCTGGATGTCCAGGCGTCATAGAATAATATCCTGCAGTGCGGCTTCTCAATTCGCCGCCTCGTGCTCCGGACTCGCACTCGACAGGTGTGGAACCGGGCGTAGCGAGATGATCGTAAAGAGGCGAGGGCCCCGCGTGTTGGTGAACAAGGTCCCAGTTGAAGTCAGGGACGTAAAGACCTACGGGTCTGTCTGCAAGTTTGTGTATTCTGTCCTCGAGGTAATGGCAGATTCTGCATTGCAGTGTCAGTCCGGTGCACGATGGTCTGAGCAATCAAAATACACACCTTCGGCCGTCAGGAAAGCTCTTCTCAAGTGTCTCCAACTCCCGCATACACATCATCGCCGCGAGAAGATGATCCGCGCAAGTGCGTGCATCTTCAACCCCGCCTTCAGCCTCGTGGACGTACCTCCGGCGTCGACCTGTTCTATGCGAGTCGAACGGGCGGATGTTCGGATGTTCGTCCCTGCGCGTAGAACTCCAGTCCGTTGACCGCGAGATGCCATTGATCACCGGCGCAATCCCCGTGTTTGCGATGTCGTTGGTCGCCGTCGCTATACGGCGTCTGGAGCAACTTGATCCACCGGAAACCCGACCGCAAGATTGCGCAGCATCGACCGGCTGAGGTCGGCAGGCCACCACCGCGCGCAGACACCATCTGGCGCGGTCATGCTCGTGGTGACGATCGTGGGCTGGTCCGTGCGTGCTCCCCGGGATGTTCTGCGCAGCGAGCCAGGGATACCAGCAGAGGCGAGCGCGGCGGCGGCGACGGACGCAGAGGGCGGTGGGGACGCAACATCCGTCCTCGCCATGTTCTGCGTGTAGAGGTGCCACGCAAAGGGCATCTTGTATTGCCAGCGGCCTATGAAACGGCTCGGTGCGGAGCGGATGAGATTATCGAGGATTGGGGAAGCGAGCATGGGCTTAGGCTTGAGGTGGCTGTGGTGGATGGACGAGCTCGGGCAGGTTGGCGAGCCCGGGCGGGTGGACTAGCACAAGTGGGAGGACGGGCGCGGGTAGCCTTCAAAACGAAAGGGCAGCGGAGAGGCGCAGGAGGTTGTAGAAACGTGGGCGGGTGTCCTTCGCGGCAGTTGGCATAGCCAAGCGCGGGCAAGTGGACGGACACGGGCAAGTGGACGGACACGGGCAAGTGGACGGACGCGGGCGGATTGGCGAGCGCGGCGGGTGGCCTTTGCGATGAAGTGGGTGCGGAGAGGTCTAGGCGGGTGGGCGGGTGCAGGCAGGTTGGCGAGCGTAGGCAGGTTGGCGAGCGTAGGCAGGTTGACCAGCGTGGGCGGGTCGACAAGCGTTGATGTGGAGAGGTGCAGGTGGCGGACGAGCGCGGGAGGGTCGACGAGCTCGGGCGGATTGACGAGCGCAACGGTGGATGGTGAATGCAACAGTGGACCAGCGCGGGCTCGCGGCGTTCGCGGCGGAGTGCGTGTTGAGAAGCACGGGCGAGTGGTGCACGGACGGGTGGCCTTTGCGACGAAATGGGTGCGGAGAGTTGCAGGGTGAGTAGACGAGCACGTACGAAGTGGGAGCGGAGAAGCGCAGGTGGGTGGAGAAGCGCAGGTGGGTGTCCTTCACGGCGAAGTCTTGACGAGCGAAGGCGGGTAGCCTTTGCGATGTGGGTGTGAAGAGCCCGAGGCTGCTCATGTACGAGAACAGACACATCTGTTGGGAGGTTGTTAGGCTAGGATCTGTGCGTCGAGGTGTAGGGAATGAGGGAGAGGAAGTGATCGAGCGGCGGCGGCACCAGCTCAACAGCAGCACACATTCACCTTGGGCAGTCTGCGGATGCAATCACCCGGGCCGATCCCCAACGCGGACATCGACGCAGAACTGCCGTCGGAAGAGCCTGCGCACGTTGGCGTGGGGTGCCTCGACAAAGTCCTTGTCGGACTCCAGAGAAAGGGGCGTATAGGTCGGTTTACAAAGGGGTTTGGGTCGATAAATGCTTACCATTTGCAGCCCATACTCCCTGCAGTCATATCGATAGCTACTGCACGTATTTGAAAGAGTGTTCACGGTCGAGGGCACGACCTTAGTTCATACCGGCTTGAGGTCGCAGCTACAGCTGGCAGAGTGCAGACGAGGGGCAGATACGAAGTGACGAGTGGGTTGCCAGATGTATGTTGGTTAGAGAGAGATGCTTCTGGCGATTTGGCACATGTCGAGCAGACGAAACACATAGAGCCGGTGGATGGGCCGTGCAGCGCAGGTTGCAGGCCAGAGCTGGTGGCTGCACATGCGGGATGTGTGATGTGAGCGTGATAGTGTCACGGAAAGTCACCCACTGTGACACGTGAGACGCTGGGCTTAACACACGCCCTGCTTTCAGCTTTGAAGATTAAGCCATAGTGTTTGGAATATACGATGTTGGCTCTGAGAACTGAAGTTTCGCGCAAAAAAATAGTGTGGGCAAAGATTACTTCCACCACAAGGAGAGTATGAAGGTCGCGGTGACCATGTCGCGCGCGCCACCGAGCTGGCGCTTAATTCTCTCGAGTGCAGAATTCAATGAGTTCAATGAATCGGAATAGGTGAGTTCAATATGATGGATTGGACAGGTTCAATCAACGTGTTCTTTACAAATCGATGTTCGACACAGTAGATAGGCAGTAGGCAATCAAAATCTATGTCAGACGGCTGCGTTTCCTCCTATGCATGATGCCTAGTGCCGCATCATCAGGATGCTCCTTGGTATTCAGCACCAGACCATTGCTGCGACGCGGTCTCGATGTCTCCTGGATTACGACCTGGTTCGATATCACCTCCTGGTCCGCGCGTATGCGTCGCTTGACTGTCTTGACCAAAACCGCCACATCTGAGTCCAAAGTGGCATTCTCGTTCGATTGGACGATGCTCGAAGCGGAGGTCTCCTGCACGCGCATGAGGATGTGCGGCTGTTTGTTGAAAATGTTCATCTGGGCTTCCCTCGCCTTGCGCTGCTGTGCGGTGAGTGAGGTATTACCAGTCTGCACTGTCCGAGTCGGTGTTTTCGATTTCGATTTGCCTTTGCCTTTTGCTGCCGCTTTCTGCGCCCGGGCCTTCGCCTTCTTCGCTTGGATGTCGGCTTTCACCTTGGCAGCTTGCGCTGCGGCTTTACGTTTGGCTCGAGCTTCAGGGGTCATGGCCTTCCTACGCTCCAGATGCTTGAGATTGCGACGAGCCAGTGAAAGTGGGACATGGGACGGGAGTGCTCCCCGAGATGGAAGAACACTGGGTGAGAGTAATAAGATTAGCACATGGGCACCGCGGTCGTTGACAAGACTGGTTACTCACTAAAATTGTGCACCATTCTTGCGCGTACCGATCTTGGAAGGTTTCCGAATGGCTTCAGCATTAGCACAATATTCTAAGGGCCCAACCGCAACTTTCGCCGTGTTCAATACAATGTACCGGAACAGGTTCTCGGTCTTGTCTGTACGTTTGAATTGGCTACAGGCAGAGTCATAAGAGAGACACAACAATGAACAGTTCTGATGCTTACCGTTCACGAGGTGCGGCTACTACAGACCACACACCCTTGCCACCGACTTGGTAACGATACGTTAGCGCACGCCGAGCGCAGAGATCCTTTTCAGGGAGAAACAGTGGTGTCAGGGTGGTGATGTTGAGATGAGTGCTCTTGCTGCGAGACTCTGCAAACACAGTAACCGGCTTCAGTCACATCACCGTCCAGAGAGGTGGACAGAGATTGATAGAGTAATAGCACGAACCGAACTTCATCAGGAATGCTGTCAATACATCAGGGGGACAGCCAGGAGAACTGAGCTCCGCACTGGCAATGCTCGGCCATGTTTCACCGAACACGATGCGGCCAAGATGCGGGGAGCGTTCCAGGGCAGCACGCATGAATGTCGGCTCAAACGGATCAAACAGCTCGTCGTCAGATGCCCATGCTGCATCCTATGGTGCAAGTCATGACTTAGCTGACCGACAAATTTCATTGTGATGGTTGAGTGCTTACCGCATGTGCATGGCCAGCAATAACATTAGACTGGCGTTGTGAAACACCAGCCTTATCCTTCGCCCACACACACATCGTGTTCCCCACACGAAGTCGTTCATCTACAGTGGGCGCCATCACACCATCGCGGATGCACGGCTTTACTCGCCTGGGCCTAGGTAATGATCATGTATCAGTGTCGTAGCATGATAACAAGGCGTAACAAATAACATTCACCATGTCTTTCTGACCGCTTTATAGACAAACGTGTAGTATGCCAACACCAACCGCGCGAGGCGTGATGGATTACCAAATACCTCCTGCTCTCGGAGGTATGGTGATATTCCTGTGAACCGAGTTGCAGTTACCGAGGTGAGCAAATGTCAGAATCTAGACAAACAAAACTTCCTCACCAGCCAGAAAGAAGATCTCGCAGACGGTATACACACCGATACCGAACCAAACATCTCCGGTGAAACGGAGCACATGCATCGCCAATCGTTTCCCCCTCTTTCGGCCAGCTACGTAGTACGTCTCGCACCAGGTCGCTATACGTGCCAAGACATTGTCCCACTGATCCAGGACGTGTAAATCATGGTGTGCGAGACCGCTCTCGGTCAATGACCAGGTCACCTAATTGTGCACAAGATGAGAAAAATGAATGACATTGTGATTCGGGCCGGACACACATACCTGGAAAACTTGATCATGGGAGACAAATGCTACAACAAAATCCGTGAACTCGAATGCTAGCCCAATCCGAAAGTTTCGCATCTACAATGGAACTCAGTGTCATCTCGGCAAGCAAAGCGCAAGTACAACCAATCCAGCAATGGATTCGCCACACACACCTTCATGTCTCCATCACCAATGTACGACGTCTCCTTGAGAACCTCCCAATATGCCCGACGGTAGGTCTGGATTGACGTGTGAGTGAGATACTGGAGCTTCAGTGGAATGGAGTGTCAACATTGCAGTTATACCGAGGCATCGGCGAAGATGCTAAAAACTCACTTGGAACCAGCATCTACCAAAGTTCAGAACAATGCTCCGGCTTGTGTAGAGCACCTTCGTGAGCACGAGATCTTGCATTTGAAACCCTGCAGGTCGAGCATGATCTGCCAGAAACGGCGGCCAAAGTGGTGTTTGATGACTTGTATTGCCTCGTTGGACTTTTGAAGACGTGGTGAGCTTATCCACAAGCCCTCGTTCATGGCGTGATCCAGGGGCTTTAGGCTCATCGGTGGTTGCATCGCAGTACAAAGCCAGTACATGCCAGTCAGCTTCAGAATTCGCCTCGTAGAAGTCTTGCAGTTGAAGTCCACTGCAATAACATTCTTGGATCTCGGGCATGGTTCACCACCGACAAGCAAGAGAGACAATGAAAGGAAGGGGGACAGGAGGACCGTCTGGATGTAAGGATAGCAGGTGTGTCACAATCGTGTTCAACACTCAACGCGACGCGGCGGCGCGTCCGAGGCGCCGCGCCACCGACGCGTCGCGTCAGCGGTCAGCCACACCTCCTTTCGGAACAACCGGCACTAATGGTCTGTATTCCTCACATAACGTAACCCTGACACGTATAGTACGTCGCATACCGAGCGGGGTATGCACAATTCCGACGATATACTCACATTTACTACGCATAGTGCTCAAGATGCGACCAAACTACTAACACAAGTCCCAAAACGTCTGTGATGACTTGTGCCTCAGACTCGTCGCGCCGCTTCATTTCCGCTCCCGGTGCGCCTACTTCACTCAGTTTGATCTCACTCGTACTCACGTTTTCCTCTCAAGAAATATATTGCGCGCGGGACGCTCCGATCTTTACAACGCAGCTGAACATGTAGTACTGCCTCATACCTAGTCGACGGCACGCAGGCACGCCGTCCGGCTCGCTGACCGCGAGCCCGATCGGTCTCCGCACGTCCAGCGAACCGACTCGCCCGTGACCGGGCTCTGACAGAAGCGCGGCAGGACGCGAATGCCGGAGCTCAGCATGTCGCCTGCGGTCGTTGCGTCAGCACAGGACGGGCCCTGGCCGCCCTACTTGCGCAGTTCCCTGTGCATGTGAGCCGTTGCTGGAGGCAGCCGGTGTGAGCCGGGTGGTCGTCTGCTTCCGCGGCGAGTCAGCTCAACGCCGGCTTCGAGTCGTGACGGACTGCTTCACCCGTGGTCAATACCAGCACGCAGGACGCCTCAGAGACGGGGGAGACTGCAGACACACGCCTGCCGATGTCGAGCGACGTGCTCGAGACCGCGTTCGTGAGGGCTTGCGTAAGACAGTAGCCCGAGCTCGGTACACGCAGCGTCACTGAGCGTTGTACTGCGCGGGTTTCGGCGTGAGCATCTGACATTGAGAAGATGGATGTACGTCCCTGATCGGCCAAGACGTCTCGTCGTCGAGGCTCGGCAGATACCCTCCACGCCCTCGGGCCCTTTGCGCAGACGGTCTCGAGAGTCCTTGGGAATGATCGTCAGCGCAGACACGCACGCACGGCACTCGCCTGCTTTCCCCGTCCATCTCGCGCCGCTCGGTCATAAACGTGGAGGCGGAGGATCGTTCCGAGGTGAATGAGGGATCTCGGCTCGTAGGTCGTGGTTACCGTGTAGCCTGGGCGGGACGTCGTCCACGGCACGGTTCTATCGTGCACCGTGTCGGCGACGCGTGTCCCGTAGTCAGGTGTCGTCGTCCTGGCCTGTGCGTCGACACGAAGCCTGCGGCGTGTGGTGCTGCGTACTCACTGTTGCATTCCAGGACATCTTCACACGCGACGTAGCCTCGTGCATACGTCGACCGTATCGTGTCCCGGTGAGGCTCGTGTCGTGTCCACCGTGTCCTACTGCTGACACCCTTTCACCATCCAGCACCTTCGGCCCCCGTGGCAGAACTGTTGCCGGACCACGCATCCGTCCATGACGTGTAGACCCTCTACGGTAAGGCCGGTTTCGTCGCCTCGTCGCACGTCTGATGGCTCTGATCTCGCACCCCAGGGGCCGCCAGAGCTCAGCGCATCAGGCGGGCCTCCTAGACTGTACAAAGACTGCGGAATCAGGTAGCTGGCGGGTAACCGGTTGAGCAAGGGATGGGTGGCGTGTGTGGGCGTACCAGAGAGCGATGGAGTGTGGACGGGCGAAAGGAAGTGTCGGCGGGCGAAGGAGAGACCCTGTTTAACGAGCTCGCCACAGCTGCTGAGCGTCGGAGGACTGGTCGGCGATGCTTCGCGCCCTCAACCTTTGGGGGTTGTCGCAGCCGCGGAAGGTGCACTTATGACACGGCAGACCGTGTGTGCGCTGAACCGGACCTGCGGCCGTGCGGGAAGGGTGCGAAGTCCTCGAGGCGAGCATGAGGTAGAGCGCGAGTGCGTGCGTGAGCGACAGGTTGAGGGCGAGAGGAAAGGCACGAGGGTGAGCACGCACTGGCGAGAGCGCTTGGGGAAAGAAGACGGCGGGACGAGGGTGAAAATGATTGGGGAAAGAAGAAGACGGGGGTGCAAGCACGAGAACGAGGGCAGGAGCACAAGAATAGGCGAAGACGCGTCAGGTCTGTGTCTGAGCGGGCCTTATGGTTGTGCGCACAGGTAGGCGAGGAGAATGTAAGCGAGGATGTCGTCGGGGACACCAAGTGCCCATGACGAGGCGGTGCGCACGGACCACGCGAGCTTCGAGACCAGAAGCTGTACATCGCATCAGTGTCGACAGTTTCAGGATCGCGCGCGGGCTTGGTGTAGAGCACATGCAACCGCCTGGACGCCACGCGGTCATGAGTCGATGATCATCTTCGCATACTCGTACGTCTGGCCCTCGGACGGCGCGCGCGAGTACTCGCCGTAGTTCGCGAGCTCGTGCGCGAAGCCGTGCGCGGCGATGGCGTTGGAGTACACGACGGAGGCCCCACCACCGGCGACCATCGTCCAGATGCAGCCCTCAGCGTTGAGGACAGTGAGCTTGAGCGAGGGACCGGTGGACGCGTCCAACTTCTGGATGTACGCCTCCGCCTTGGTGAGATCACGACCGAAGGGAGCGGGCCAGCCTGAACCTGCAACGCATGAGTACGACACGATAGTACGAGATCATGCGTGCTCACCATCGGCGGGCCGCGATCAGCAAAAACAGTCTTGCCCTTCGAGGTCGTCGCCTGCGAGCCAGGCTTGTCCACGCCGGACAAGTCGCGCGCATCGGCCACTTGGGCCTGCAGATCGACAGTGTCCAGGCAGATGAGGGGCTTGATCTCGAGGTACGCGGAGTGGAGGTCGACATAGACGGAGTAGAGGCGGACGAGGAAGTCGATGAGGGTCTCGTTCTTCGCCGCGGGGACGTGCATCAGGAGGGTATCTGCGATCCTTGCGGTCAGGGCCAACGCGTCACCGATGTCGACACCGCTTGCTGCAGCGCGCGCAGGAGTGCGAGGGACGCTTGAAGGGCGGCGGCGAAGACACTTGGTGTTTGGGTGCTCGCGAGTGGTTGCGTGCAAGGCCGGACTGGCTTTGAGGCTGGTCATCTTCCATTGGAAGCCAGAGGCCGACGCGAGCCCATCTTGTGCATGCCAACTGCGAGCTGGCAGGCGAGGATGCCAGCGTAGTCATCCTCGAAGTCGTACTAGTCGCTGTGGGAGGAGTATGGGTCGCCGCTGGACTAGAGACAGAGATCGGCACCGAGCTGGGTGTTAGACTATTGCAAAACTTTGGCGGTGGTGGGCGCACGGCGATGGGAAGTGGGAAGTGGGAGGGCGAGGATGAAAGAGGGTAGGGAACATTTCAGCCTTTGTTGCACAACTGCACGGTCGACTGATGGTCGAGTGATGGTCGAGTGAAGGGGCAAGGACACAGTCGACTGACCGCACGGCGTAAGCGCCGGGGTGGCGCTGCTGCAAAACAGACTTACTCAACTCCGAGCGGAAGCAATCTTTGCCGACACAATTCTTCTCAAAGAAACATGTCCGAATGGTCCCAAGAGCCCATTTCAAAAATATGGTAGCTTATTCTTCAACGCTGAATGCTGGACATGTTGTAAGGCCAACCTCTGCGTCGCCCTTCGTTAAGCGCTGACGCCGTTTCGCGCCACAATTGCTCTGACCCTCTTACTCTCCTCCCGGTGTTAGATTTCTTTGCCCACAATATATTTTGTGGCGAAACATACGTTCTCTATGCAAAGATAATATATTCCGATACTCGTAGCTTAATCTTCAAAGCTGTAAGCGGGACATGTGCTAAGCCAGAAGCGCCCATCGCATACTGCATACTCGTACTCACCATAGTATCCCGTTGTGCGTCCCCATCCACTGATTCATTATCCATTCCAATGAATAAGGAGTAATGTGACAATCATCATTGAGACAATAGACCACTTTACAAAGTGATTAGAACACCATCTAACGAGCATTACAACGAGATCATAACAAGTGTTACTTGAACGGGATTAGAACAGATTAGAACGAGCATTAGAACAAATTAGAACAAGCATTAGAACGAATATTAGAACAAATCAGAACGGATTAGAACGACCATTAGAACGAACATTAGAACGGATAGAACACCCATTAGAACGAACATTAGAAAAGATCAGAACAGATTTGAACAGAACAAAAATGACAAAAATGACGGTAAGAAAGGCAAGAGGGTGAAGTACCAATCAAACAGTAGAATGGTCTCTCTGATTATGAAGGACTTGCTCATGAAGCCAGCAGTCGAAGAGCGTGACAGCAGAGGGGTCGCCAAACTCGGACTCCTCGAGAAGTGCGTTGCGCAGCCATGAATTGATCTCGATGACGCAGTACCCAGCACAAGTGTGTAGGTCAAGGACAGGCTCCCTGCTGTCGCGGACGTGCGCGTGTTTGAATCGGAACTGATCAATTCTTTGTTAGGTTGATGTTTCGAGACACAGGATGAATGAAAGATGCACCTCAATACGCCAGCCGGGATCCACAGGGAGATCTTGACACTCTGTGACGGCTTGGAGGAGCAGTCGCGCACGAAGGGTAGTTGGATCACCGTATTCATGGTCCATTAGCAGGGTATCACGAACGAGGTGGTGATCGGGGTGACCATGTCCATGTAGCCAGCGAAGTAGGCGAAATTTGAAGATGCGCTCGTAAAGGGTGCGCTCCGAATTCGGCAGCCCACCTAGAGTGAACTCGAAAGAGATGATGCGTGCGACATCCTGGGGTTGATCCACAGTGCGGTTGTACAAGGTTCTGATGATGACAACTGGGTCCAGAGCAACGGTCCGGTCGCCAGATACAGCAACGGGTCTTGAGAATAGCTGGCATTTATGTAAGACACATCAATACACCCAATACACATTCGAGTCCATGTGGCGATAAAAAATGACTTACCTCAGTCAATTGTCGCAAATCACCGCCTAAAGCATCGTTGGTAGCGAGCTCCAAGTTGAAACCTTGGCGGAACGCTTGCAGCTCCAAAGCGTTCGTCGTGACCTTTCCCAACACGACTGCACTGATGAGCTGCCGTGTGCATTCCAGTCTCATTGATGAATCCGGAGTGAAGCCAATTCGGGGCGACTGAACAGGGCTTCAGTCGGTGGCAAAACAAAACAGAAACAGAATGATCAATCATACCTGAATACCAAGTCGGCTCATAAACAGACTCCATACAGGATGAGCCAAATGCCTCGCACCCGATGGAAGAGGGTCTACGGGTCCGAGCGCAAACCAGGGGCGAAGTTCCTCAGCAGCATCGCGGTCAAACTGCTCGAGGAGCTCGAGCGACATCTCGAAGGCGCGATCGCCCAAGATGGCCCAGAGAATAACAAGCGGATGAATTGGTCTGGGCGCCCGAAGGTGATGACCCATGACCAACGCTGTTACCAACCCATGCGCTGAAATTATCGCCATGCGCTGATCCTCCAGATGACGATTGCCAGCAGTGAAGTCCTCCAAAGTGGGAACCAAAAACTCATGGCGCACCTCCCATAGACCCCATGGCATGGGAATTGGCTGAGAGAGGAGGCGTAATGGATGCTCAAATTCCGCATTGTCTTTTTCATTTTCTTCGTGGGATTTGACCAATGTCTTGATGATCTCAAGGAGTGTCGCCACTTCAGGACCACGTCCAACCGCAGGGCCACTAGCAATAATTGAATTAGTCAGTACTGGCTACCGGTTGAGTTGGAGGAGAAGGACGCACATGTTGATCCCACGGATCAGAGGGTTCAGGTACGCTGAGAGAGGGACATCATCAACTTCAGTCCGGTATGGCGCGTTGTAGACACCGACAGGTGGTGTTCGGCCATACTTGATCCAGAATTGATGCGCGAGATGTGTGATCACAGCACGTGAAGCGAACTTGACGTTCGGAGCAACAATATACACCTGGGGTTCACCGCCGTCTCGCTCCCAAGTGACGGAGCAAGCTCGGGCGAATGCCTCCCGGAAATTGAGCGCCATGCTGGCATCTGGGCGCACTGGCTGCAAGAGACTAGCCTGCCAGTCCTGCCACGCTCGTCAGTGCTGTGCCCAAGGTAATGTACAAACACTCACTGTCGCAGTGGCTGACACAGACAACACTCGGCGCTCCGAGTTGGTATCATCCACAACCTGTACTAGTCGCTGGCGGTTCAAAGCTGGAGCTGAAGACGTACTCTAAGGCGGATCCCAGTCACTAATGGCATAGTCCACCAGATGAGCGACTGTGCTTACCAATTCATCCATGCTCTCAGAACGAGAGCGTCGGAGCCCCACAACCGGCACTGTGCGATCAGATGGAAAGTACAGTGCACCAAGGTCGGGGAAGGGCATAGGACGATGTTCAACATGTCGATCTGGGGATGGCGAGCTTCGTCTGGATGGGACAGGCGGTTGTGGAGCTAGCATAGTCGGCGGGGCGAAGATCGGTAGAGTCGAAGGTGGTAGTGCAAGCAATTGAGGGTCAATAGCCATGGACTGCGGACTGCTCTGTAGGGACTGAAGCACATATCAACCATATGAGCAATCACCCGCCACACGCACATTTGCATACTCACCTGGGCTGGAGCTATGAGAGTAGGAGTCCGTGAATTGGCGCGATTCAGCAAGGGTAAAAAGGGCTGGACAGGATGAGGTGCAGGAACGTTAACTGACACGTGTGGTGCAGCGTAATCTGCAGTGTTAGGACGACTCGGAAGAACTGGGACTATGGGAGGCAGGAGAGAGGCCGAAGATGTTGTGGTATGAGGCGAAGTAGTAGTATTATGTGCGATGATTGAACCCGAGTCCGAAGGAAGAGACGAAAAAGCGGAAAGACAGTCGTTCTCAGTGCAGAAGGTGTCAATAACTCCGCTGGCATGCGAGGAAGGGCGGACAAGTGCAAAGAAGCGAGCGGAAAAACAGCGATGTGGCCGTTCATGGTCCGGACTCAAATGATCATGCGCAACCAAGGCAGTGATAGGCGCATAGACCGCACCGTTGGCGGGGACTAATGGATTTGGATGGATCAGGACTCACAGCGCAGAGTCACATGCAACGATGTCAACGTACCAACAGGAATGACAACCCGATCAGGGGCAAAGGCGCCCTGCAGTTTGGCATACATGCGCTTGATTGACGTCAGAGATGAGGCGGGGTTGATCAGTGTCTGCGAGCTCGCTTGGACGAATTGAAGCTTCGTGCCCTGGAGGATGCGTAGGCCAGGCAGAGTCCAGGTCGATTGAGAGCTGAGCAGCGTGAATCGATGACGTTCACACTGTTGGCGAATGTGCTGATCGAGCAAAGGCCTGAGCGGGGCGTTCTCATCCAATGTCACAGTCACAACACAGCCATGGTCTCTGAGGAGCGTAAACAGTGTCTGTTTCTCCGCTTCCGAGACTGCAAAAGGCCCCTGATTGAACAGTCGTTTCCCCTCTTGGAGCTGTCACGGTGTATGGCATGAGAAGAGAAAGACAACGCCGCACGGAACATGCAGGTACTAATAAGTGCAACATACCGAGCATGGCAGTATCATGATGTCGACCACTTCACCTGGTGCAAACTGCGCACGCGCAGTGAGAGCCTATGCATGGACACCTCAGAAAACACAATAAGATCCAAAAACGCGAAGTACACGCACCTGACCACGATGTGAAGCATCTAGTGGCAGCAACTGTGCACTTTGGGCACGTCGCACATCGGACGACTGCGAGGAGGGCGGTCGAAGCTGGAACGCTTGAATTGGCGGAGCAAGAGGTGTACCTCGACCAGCGATAGGCGGAAAGTGCGGGATGGGCTGAAGCGGAGGAGCACTGACTACAGGTGTATTCGATCTAGAGCTGTAATGCAGGCGGTCAATAGATACCTGTGCTGACAAGGGAACAACATACCCAGGTCCCAACGGTGGACCAGGATGAGGCTGCGAGACAATACCCGCAGAACTGGAAGAGACGTCAGGATGACAACTTCTCAAAACGACCCAGAAGAATTGAAAATCGCAGCGACTCGGAGACGACTTACAACGGTCCCGGTAGAGTCCCAATAAATGTCTCAGTGTTCATAATTTTGAGGCGGGTATTGGAGCAGTGCTTCCTAACAGAGAAACGAGCGATGTAGGGTGAAAGAATGAACTCAAATGGCAGTGGCAGGCAGGAAAGATGTGGTGAGGGTGAGGGTTGTCGAGAAGCGGATGTGAGCTGAAGGCGGATGCGAGCTGAAGGCAAGTTGAGACGTTCCACCGGGTCGGTTTCATGCTCAAGCGGGAGGAGCTCACCATGGAGTACCAAGACAGCGGAATAGACTGCCAGTGGCAACCGATCGTGTAGAGCACCATGGCTACCCGAGTCGTAGACATGAGAGGTCTTGGACAGAAATACTTGCTCGGACAAAATCACTTGTTGATGGCGGAGCAACTGTTTGTTGAGACGAAGGTACACAGGCGGACAGGAGATGAAGGGACGGAAGGTGAGAGGACAGGACTTCAGACTTTCATGCCAATTAGCAACTGACCTGTGAAGATCTCGAATGAAACGGCGTGCACTACCGGCTATGACGGGATGCAACGGTACACGACATGGCATGAACATTTAGGGGCACTCAGGACCAGACAGGATTCGGCGGGAAATGATAAGAAACGGCCGGGAGTGAGGTGATCAGTCAGCGCAGATCAGGATCTGGTAGAATTCCTAGCCCAAAAGCGGGATGGTTTGGTAGCACGAGGCTTCATGACGGCGCCCGATACAGCCCGCCAGAACCGCTCGGGCCATTTGCGATCCGGACCGTGTGCTGCGCTAAGCTACTACCGTGTATAATTTTTGTCCGATAAAGCCCTTCATAGTACCGTGACTGAGTACTAAGGCTCAGCGCTCACTGGCTTGGACTCATCCTCCTCCCAGCGTGTGGGCAATACTAGTTATCGCCTCGGTTTCTATCTAGGTCCCATTTTTTGCATATTCCTCCCAAGTAATAGGATTCGCAAACCGCCTGTGCGTTACATACGACCATGGAATTCGCTTTCACGGCCATGGGCCCAGACACAACCAGAAGCCGCGTGCTTCTCGTCGTGCTGACACGATGTAAAAGGCTGCCAAAGGTAGTTCTTATGTTGCCACCGATCACTAGCCTCGGAAGCTCAATGTGACATCTACTTATCATGACCACTGGCATCTGCAGACGACAGTGAAACGATGACGGCCGCTCATGCCCGTCATCGAACCACATGCTAGCCATGATACTGAGGACATACGGATGAAGCTGTGGGTGGATTCCATTATGATCCTGATGATTGTATGACTGAGGCACCATCTCGGAGGACTAAGGTGCGCTCTGACTATTACCATTCTAAGACGATAGAGCGCTGAGCGCTGAGCTGCGATGCCCGACGTCAAATCGCATGCTGGTCATGATACTGATGACAGATATGTCTCTGTATGGAGTCCATGAAGATCTAGACGAGTGAAGCTGTGAGTTGCCCCCTTCTTCAAGGATGATTTGGTGAGTGAGATGCTGTGAGGACCAAAACGTACTCTCTGACCTCCCCGGAACGGTAAGATTGCTGTATCTTGGATGCTTTATAAATCCAGGCTCTGAAGACCGTCTAGCAATCTTCTTCTCAGGGATAGCTACCAATGAGCTCTGAGTCGACCTACGTGGCCATCGTCTTGGCGCTTGCCTCCGTGGTCGCACTGTGCTACATGCGCTCCCCAATTCGTACGAATTTACCTCCAGGTGAGTGCAGCCAGTCGCATTGAACACCATTGTGACGGTCGTATGACTCATTTACGACAAGGACCGTGGCCAATTCCATTTGCTGGGAACATCATGCAGTTTCCACGCCGCAACATCGCAGCGTCCCTTGCGTCACTTTCGGACAGCTATGGTCAGTATATCGATGTGTTCATAGAGTGCCTCTTTAGACTGAACGTGCTATAGGAGACATCATCTACATGCATGTCTTCGGACGGGAATTCTTGATCCTCAACTCAGTTGTGGACGCCCTCGAACTGTTTGACCGGCGTGGCTCTCGTTACAGCGACAGACCTCGATCGGTTATGGCAGGTGAACTGGTGGGAAAAAACAGCGCCGTCCTCTTTCATCCGTACGGAGAAGACCTCAAGAAGCACCGAAGACTTCTCCGGACGGCATTCGAGCATCGTCGCCAGGCTGAATACTGGGAGATACAATATGCAGTCTCGTACAAGCTTATTGCTGCGTTGCTCAAAACACCGGATGATTTCATGGCTCATTTGAAGCGGTAATTATCAACTCGTATTTTTCGTGCACTGAATGATATAATCACATCACTCGCAGGTCTGCCGCGGCCTTTACCATGCGAGTCGCATATGGTTATGACGTTTCACAAGGTCCTGGGGAGGACCACTTTGTGACACTGGCAGAGGAACTCGCACGACTCACAGCCAAGGCATCGAAGCCTGGAAGATGGCTTGTCGATTCGTTTCCCATGCGTACGCCTTCTGGCCCTTGGCCGTGGGACACATCTGACATGTCATAGTTCGTTATATACCGGCTTGGTTCCCCGGTGCCGGTTTCAAGAGATGGGCACGCACTGCTCGCATTATCACACATGAGTTTGCGGCTGCACCGTACATGTATGCCAAGAACGCAGCTGTGAGTTCTTCACTGGATTGCGCCTGCGTGCACTCAAGTTTTTGTAATATTCTAGATCGCGAACGGCATCAGCTCTTTTGTGAGTGACACCATTGAGCTCATTCAGGCGGAGCTTGGCCACTCTCTCAGTCCTGGAGATGATGAGTTCCTGAAGTGGACATCTGCGAGCATCTACTCTGGTAAGTCGCATGTCAACCCCGCTCGACGTAAGCTAACATTCAATTTGTCATGTTATTGACCAACTAGGGGGGACCGACACGGTATGTTCACGAATCAAGGTACGACTGAACTAATAAATCAATGAATTAATCATTTGCAGTCCGTGGCAATCAACTCATCGTTCCTCCTCATGATGGCTCTCTACCCGGATGTACAACGGAAAGCACAGGCGGAATTGGATTCCGTTATCGGCCATGACCGTCTCACACGTATCGAAGATCGGGCCTGTTTGCCGTACATCGAGGCTCTAATCAAGGAGGTCCATCGGTTCAGACCGATCACGCCCTTAGCGCCCCACACGACTGTTGTGGACGACGAATATAGAGGATTTCGTATCCCTAAGGGGAGCTGGATTATGGCTAATACTTGGTCAGTCTATCACGCTGTTGCACGTCATAGCTCCTACTCAAACCTAGTTTACGCTGAAGGGCGTTCATGCACAATGCGAAGGTGTTTTCCCAGCCTGAGAAGTTCTGGCCTGAGAGATTCCTCCCCGAAGGTGCAGGCTGCACAGCAGACCCTCGGGACTATTCCTTTGGATACGGCAGAAGGTACACCGAACCTTTCCCCTATCCTGTCATAATCTCACCTATTCTTAGACGATGCCCGGGTCTGAGCGTGGCAGAGTCGGCTTTCTTCATTGCTGTTACACATATCCTTGCCGTTTTCGATATCTCTCATCCGACGGACGATCATGGTCACACGATCACAGAACCGGTAGATTTCACCGATGAACATATCTCGTGCGTGTCTTTCTCTCACTATACAATGAGGTCTGACGAGCTGTCCCCAGGCATCCGAAGCCTTTCAAATGCGTTCTCAAGCCACGTTCAAAGGCTACGGTGGACATGATATCTCAACTGCTGTCTTCTTCGAGTTGCTGAGATTCTCATTCAAAGTTCATTGTATCGTGTGTTGTCTACGCTTATATCTATTGAAACACGATATCGCGGCTGTTTCGACATTGAAGAATGTACGTCGAGTACCTTGGAAGATTTGGTAGTTCAACATGGGCCGGGTCACCCGAGGAGAGCGCCGCAATTGTATATATTTTAAGATCATCTCATAATTACGGAGCAATGTCCATCATCTTCCAGGCAACCGTGAGCTGGTCAATTTTGACGGCACTAGCCCTGTTCGGTGGCACGAGAGCCTTCTAGAGAGGACGCCACAGACGACGTTCAATTCAGTTCCGCCGGTAAGTAAGTACAATATTTGCCACCTTCCGTATAAGGCATATGGGCGCTCACCAGCCTGAGCGTAGACATTCTGGGCCGCCTCACCTTCGTTCGTTCACGTCGACCGGGGTCTTCGATATCTGGCTTCACAAATAAAGGACTTATCCGCACTCTCGATGGTCTGCGCATTACGTATTAGCTATGAGCGCTGTCCACGGATCACCTGAGAGCAGGCATGGCAGTGGGAGTTCGTAGAACTCTAGCCTACTCATTATGGCATGCTTCCGGTGAGCAATCACAACGTTCTCTGCAGTCAAATTGTCAACGAGTCGGTATATATCAAGCAGATGTCAACAGACTCAAGGAGTTGAAGGCGGAACATGCCTCTTCCATTCCGTGCTGTAGCCTACCTCATGGCTCCGGCGGCCGGCGGTTTTGACACTGACAGTGACCTGATGAACTGGGCGTTGTGTGTGCATGCTCGGATCCATCTATGGACATCAATTGGATGCACTGTCTTTAGGATGCATCTCTGCTGCACTGGTCTCGAGGGAACATCCTGTCGTAGGGTCCCCATACCCTTCCTCATCCCCGTCCCACTGTCACAGAAGACGATCAAATCTTCGTGTACATGTTCCTATCTTCTCGTCACCTCGGACTCTCCGATCACTATTTCAGCGGCAAAGGGTTGTGATGCTCGTTTGGAAAGCTCTTGCGTCCCGCTTTCCACGGGCGAATAGGTAAGACATCGCAATGTGTTCCAAGTTTGGTGAGCACGAGATCTAAATTTAGTGGCGAGCGATTGAGGTTTCCTGAAGTAGATGCTCAACTTCCTGATCGTGTTCCATGCGAATAGAAAGCCAAGTGGGAAGCTTATGACAGCCCGTAGACGTCGGCACAACGAGCTAAACATGGCCTGTACTGACACCAGGTGGTGTCCGCGACGTACGGTGAGTTGCTAGACACTGTCGGGTGATAGATGGTAATTGGATCGTTGCGGAACCTCAGAAGCAGGGTCACAAAGTGCTAGTAGCTGCGTGACTGCTCGGATGTCCCGCGCATGATGCGGGCACGAGCCTTGGCATCTCGCCAATGTTCGTCACGAAGAGAATAGATGTGCACTAGTACAGGCTCCGTATATAGGACATAAGTTGGACTCCACGGTATACTCACGTCTTTCTTTACAGTACTCGCTGTCTTATCAATCATGGTGTCTTCGCTAGTGCAGATGTACGTCCAGCCTTCCGGTATGCTTTGCATTGGCTAATGTGTCCCTCGGGATTGTGGCAGACCGAAATCTGCAGCTAGCCTTGTGGCAGACTCAGGCTCTCAATTAGCTCTCGAAGAGCTTCCCGCTGATCAGACCTCTCGCGGTCGGCTGAGCCCTACAGAGGGCGAGCGTGATGCCGTCGCCTTCAAACGTGGTTTCGCATTTTGGATGGTCTTCGCAGGTAATCTCATGGTGGACTTGCCGTCTGCGTTAGACCTAGTTCGTGACGCGCTCGATATCTTTCTGGGTTTTCATGCTGACACTGAGCTACAGACAGCCGTATCCACCGCCTTGCCAACTATCACCTCCCATCTGCATGGATCCGACTTCATTTGGGCCGGAAGCGCATATGCCATTGCTTCCACAGCCATCCTCCCTACAGTGGGCGGGCTGGTATCTGTCTTCGGCCGAAAGCCTATCATCCTAGGTTTCATACTTCTCTTTGCGCTAGGATCGGCACTCTGCGGCGCGGCTCAAAACATGGCGATGTTCATTGCTGGCAGACGTATGCATCATAACTTGGTCTATTCGGAGCTGACCTCAGTTTCCAGTCGTACAAGGATTGGGTGGCGGAGGATGCATAGCCGTCACAGAGATCATTTATGCGGACCTCATTCCCCTGCCAGAGCGAGGGAAGTTCTATGCTATAACCGCGTCGTAAGCGCACTTGTGGATACGATACAGGCTCTTACTAAACGATCGCTTGTGGTATGACAGAGTATGGGCGTTAGCAAGGTAAGCAACCTCACTCGTCAGCGTAACGACGCTCTTTGTGTATACGTTCGCACAGCGCTGTCGGCCCCCCGATTGGCGGCGCATTCTCTGGGTCTGGAGCGTGGCGATGGCTGTTCTTCTTGAACCTTCCACTCTGCGGCATCGCGTTTGTGTTGGTGTCTGTGTTTCTTCACGGTCACAGCCCTCGGGACACCTTGCGCAACAAGATCGCACGAATGGACTGGCTGTGAGTGATGATTCTTCTATTCTTCCAATGTATAGCCTTATAGAGCATGGTGCAGGGGGCTCGCCGTCGTGATCTCGAGCACCGTTTCAGTGATGATGGCACTTACATGGGCGGGAGTCCGCTATCCTTGGCCCTCGGCTCACGTCTTGGTCCCGCTTTGTCTCGGCGCAGTCGGACTTGTCCTCTTCTTCATCATGGAGTTATATTTGAAGTCTATCGAAGAGCCTACGGTATTCACGTTGCGACATCTTTCAAGTGCTGCGCTAATGCAGCCCTCAGATCCCGGCCTTCATACTCAAGAATAGGACCACTCTCAGCGGGTACGGCGGTGCGGATATTGCGCTGAGAACTATACTGACGAGGGTCCAATACAAAAGATATCTCGGCACGTTCTTCCATGGAATAGCGGCTATGGCCCTTATATGTGCGTGTTCACCTGTAGTGTCTGCGCTCATAACTGACCATACCATTTTAGACTATCTACCAGTATACTTTCAAGCATCGAAACTCGCCTCACCAGTTCGATCGGGATTATACATGTTTGGCGTTGCATTCACGATCCCGCCCTTCGCGATACTCATGGGCGTCTCTGCGCAAGTAATGAGACGTTACTGCCCGCAGAACTACATCGGATGGATTATCACTATAGCCGGGTTCGGGCTCTTGTCGACGCTTGACGAGAACAGCACAACAGCAAGAATCATCGGATATCAAATCTTCCTAGGTGCGGGAGTGGGCATCATTTGGATCGGAACACAGTTTCCGATTCTTGCGCCGCTACCTTTCTCCAATAACGCCCACGCGCTCGCCTTTTTCACCTTTACTCGTGTCTTTGCGCAGGTGAGAGCTAGGTGATCTCTTATCAGGTCGGCGACTCATGGGCTTTTCAGAGCTGGGGGACTGTCATGGGTGGAACAATTCTGCAGAATACACTCCAGTCGCGCCTTCCGAAGGCTTTCATCGCTTCCCTCCCACACGGCACTCAGCTTACTTATGTCATTATCCCCGAGGTACCGAAGTTGGCCGAGCCACTCAAGACGGAAGTACGCGCGGCTTTTGCGCGGAGCACGTCTACGATATGGCACGTCATGATCGGAATATCAGGACTCGGACTGCTGACATGCCTCCTGATGCGGGAGGTGCCAATGCGGACGTCAATGGACGAGAAGTGGGGTTTGGAGGACCGTGGAAAGGGGGCTCCCGACAGTAAAGATTGATTCTATTACGAACAAGAAAGGTTCGACGGCATGGCTTACGTAGACGTTCACCGGCAGGGACACAGTAGAGTGAGGAGCGAGGGTGTATAGCTTACAAGTCTCAGGCCCACAACATGTCATAATAGTCTTCCGAGCATGGTATATGTTTTGAGTGTTGCAACGTATACGAGCCTGAGCCTTCTCATTGTGACTGGAAGCAGCGAAGTATTCGGTTCCACAACTGTTCACTTAGGGAAATACACAGCCCACCAAGATCGCGTCGGTTCGAGCCAGGGAAGATTGTTTTCTACTATGGTAGTACTGCTACTACTTATGTATGTTGAAAGCAACGTGAAAGAGGACTGCAGGCATGTGAGCTACCGTATCTACTCTATAAGGGGCGTGGAAGTTCGCATTGGCGATACACAACGGATAGACAAAGACGAGATTTCATTGGCTCAGCTAACGGACAGACCGAGGAGGAGGAGGGACTCCAGGAGGGGGGCCCGAGCCTGATTGAATATTGAGCGCCTAAGCACACTACGCAATGGCTCAGATCGACCTCATCCATTTGTGTGAGGGAGCTGAAAATTAGTATGGTCGTGCTTTAGGGCTCAATAATGCCCGCCATCTATCCGTTATTACTTAGAGAATCATCCCCCGCCTTTGAGGTGCTCCTCAACTCGAACAGGGAAATGCTGACTCCCGAGCGCTACCGAGGTTCGGCCCGCGTGACGCGCCCCGCGCCCTATCGTCCCCAGCGGGACTCACATGCGCGCGGTCACATCCGTATTTTGACCACCCACGTCTGGCTCGCCACGGCGGTTACACAATCAAGCACATGGACTCGGGACGTGGCGGAGGAATGGGCGGCGTGCGCGTGCGCGAAGGACGGACAGACGGCAGGCGTCACGGTATGAGCGAAAGGACTCGACGGTGAGTGCAAATACACACAGGCGGGCCAGCTGACTGCAGACATAGGGAACGGCGACATCCAGCACAACACGCACGGCAGCCACGAGTACGCAGGGCCAATGCCCTGCGCGCAGACGCGGCCGATGAACGAGCGACAAGCGTAGGGGCGAGGACGAGGAGGTGCGAGCGGGTGGACGTTAGGGCGAGCGAGCTGGCGCACGAACGGACGGGCAGGCGGGAGGGCGAGCAGGTGAGCAGATCGGCGGTTGAGCGGCCTGGTTGGCTGGCGGGTACACAAACGGGCGACGACGCACGGCGACCGCGAGCGTGCAGGGCAAATGCCGAGCACGCAAACGCGACCGACGAACGGACGGCACGCATGGGAATAGGATGGGCGAGACAAGTGCAAGACGGCGGGCGAGTCGACAGGTCTGCGGCCGGGGCACGGAAACACGACACTCGCCGACTACGAGCACACAGGCCGAATGCGCTGCGTGCAAACGCAGCCGTCCCCTGTAGTTTCCTATTTTATTCGTCTCTCAAATCTCAGGCCTTGTAAGGATGCCCACACAACAACAACACGAAATGCCCACGTCGGGACCCAACCCTGTAACTCCAAGACGCGCTCGGCTGCATGCAGACCGTCTATCACAGGAGGCGATGAGTCCCACACGATGGAGAACACCGTATGTAAGTGGGTGATACTGTCGTGTCCGACGCAATTGAAACAACTATGTATTAGCACAACTTCTCTCGCCAGCATACAGCCCCCACAAGCGATCTCACAGCGCGGCGGTGCCGGCATTCGGGCATAGAGCAGGTGAGGTCTCTTTGGTCCAAACCTCTCTCAATCTGTCAAGTGCTATAGAGTCTTGGCAGGCATTCCTCAGGTCTCGCAACATCGAGTCGGACTCGAGAAGCACCAGCCACTGGAAGCGCTGCTCAGACGATGTCAGACGACAGATGCCTACCTGCTCAAGTAAGTCCTTTAGACCACTCTTTCGCGTGCAATTCCTCATCTGATTGTGTAGGCGATGCGATGCGAGGAGGTTGGCGGTAGTGATGACATCTTTGGGTAAATTGTGAGTGTACCGCTGCTGCCGCAACGGCGGTCTTAGGGCCTCTTTGTACAACAGCCTTTGGCGCCACCGTCTACGTCTACTGTTCGGCCAGGAACACAAGCACAGAACTGCAGAACACCAACCATTCGATGCTATGCACATTCATTCGCTAATCTTGTTCGCATTCGCATGGCACGCGACTGGGAGCAGACATGTCGACGAAGAGACCATTGATCGCGCCTGCTTACTCGCTCATTCTCGCACACAGACGCAGGGCATTAATGCTACTCGCTTCGCGTGGCCGACCGTATTCGTCACTGCCTCATGCACAGCACGAACATGGCAGTGTACTGAGTGGCCTTCTAAGTTAGCAAGGGGCTCGAGCTACGGTTCTATGTTTCTGCGGACTCATACTGTACGTACACGGTACAGTTGAATATGCAATAGCAGTCCATCAAGGTTCTGACTTTTTCGAGTGACTACCGATACTGTGGCACCGGTGGACTCGGGAGACACAGTCAGCTACAGAACCTTGAAGCCTCTACGCCCATCGACATCAAGAAGCCTAGTTACTACATGTGTCACTTTCCTTGGCATCTCAAGACGGCCATGAATGTGGTGAAATACCGCACGCCGGTGTCAACGACAGATGTACGAGCTCCTTTACGTGGGTAATGTTCCGGTCATCCCAGGGCGGTCACATCGATCATCGGCCAGTCTTTCGGGTTCCACGGAGTGGCCTAAGGTTCGTGACTAGTCACTGTTATCACCGACGGCTTGAGATGGAAACAGGGATGCATGACACGCCAACTCGGGCGGCCACGCCCTGTCAGCGGCGCGAGTTAGTTCACATGCATGTGAACGCATGTAATGCTTGAAGGAAGTTCAAAAGACGCCCGCTGTGCGTGCAGCACAGGCATTCCTGATTAACTGATTGCTGGTAACAGGCTTCCATTGCACGCCTCAAAGCCCACCGGTCTCGCCCGCAAGAAGCAGCCACGGCACCTCAGGGATACAGGCAAACACTTGAAGAACAGAATCCCCACTCACCTTCACGGTCCTTGAGCTCGGTATCGTCTCGATAATGCCTAAGTCTGTCCTTATCACCGGGTGCACCGTTGGAGGCAGTGGACACGCACTTGCGCGCGAGTTCTTGGCGAAAGGTCCGTATTACAATTGTATCATCATTGCTCACAAGGGAAGGCTGAAGCTCGGACTAGGATACCGTGTCTTCGCAACGGCTCGTCATGTTGAATCCATGGGGGACCTAGCGACGGAAGGAGCGGTTACACTTGCCTTGGATGTTACAGATGAAAATTCTGTGCGGAAGGCGCGCGATCAGGTTTCCGCCAGCACTGGCGGAACATTGGACATCCTGGTCAATAACGCGTGAGTGAATTCCATGTACCTACGACCTCTGTACACTGCTCACCAGAGAGCGTGACCGTTCGCAGGGGACAATGTAAGACGAAGTCATGTTTGAGCAGCATATACTCATTCTGACATATCGTCCTAGCTGCCCTTATTCCAGTGATCGACATGCCCATGTCAGAGGCGCGTGCTATCTTCGAGGCCAATTTATTTGGGCCGGTCTGTATGGTTCAGGAATTCGTACACCTCCTCATTGCATCGGGAGACGGTCGTATCGTCAACATCGCCAGCATCGGCGCCGTCATGCCGCTGCCATTTTGCGCTATTTACAACGCGACCAAAGCGGCGATCGTATCGCTTTCAAACACGCTGCGCTTGGAGCTGGCGCCATTCGGGTCAGTGCTACGCTGAGTATCAGGCGAATTGAGTTTTGACATCAGTTCAGCGTCAAAGTCGTCACAGTGACGTTTATGTACTCGGTGCAGCTCATGCCAATACTCACTAGTTCCTAGGTAATGTCGGGAAGCGTGAAGACCAACATTGTCAAACCGCACACACTTCCGGTTGGATCCATGTACGAACCGTACGAGGAACTTTACCAGGAGAAGAGAGTCAAGCCAATTATGAGTGCGTTGTCTTATGTCTACCGAAACCCAGGATATGTTCACTAAAATCTTTGACTATAGTGGACGCCATGCCTCCTGAAGACTACGCTCGTGAAGTAGTGTCTCAGGTAATCAAGCCCTCTCCACGAAACTGGCTTTGGGTTGGAACACATTCATTCTTTTGCTGGTTTGTTGATACGTTCTTTGGTCAGCGAGCATTCGTACGTGTTTCCGTAACCTCATATCGCGTACAGGATTGCTGAGGCGAGTCGGAGCTGTAGAACTTCATATTCATGCAGAAGTTCGGTCTCTCTGAATTTTCGGCGATGGTGAAGGAAGGCAAGGCAAAGACTGTGTAATCACGATTGAACACGAATGTAGTAGTACTACCGGCGTGTTACTTCTCAGAGACAATGTTCCGTACGATTGCAGAATTATCAGGGTGTTCCACTTCGAGTACTTAATGCCAAATGGCATTCACGCGTGCGAGGTGTTGTCTCGAGAACACCGACCATTGCGCCTACGCCCTTTGGGCTACACTTCATACGGGACCAGCCTGTGGCTGCGTGGTAAGGCACGAAGCGCCTTTCTTCACCACTTATTCAGCCCTCACGCAAGGTCTGGGCCCTGTAGCATCGTTGAAGACGTACTTAGCAACACTGTGAGTCGATACATGCAAACAGGCCATGCAGCTAGCTGATATTTACGTATTTGTTATTCGGTGTCTCGTACAGGATCACTATGGGTAAACCGGCGGCGGAAAGCTTTACAGCGACGAGAGAACTTGTCCATTTCCACTGCTTCGGAGCGCCTTCTTCCAGACCGTGCGTACGACTCTCCAGTACCTGTCTGGATCTGACTTCGCATGTGCGACGTGCTGAGAACCAGAAAACTGTTCGAGCGTTACATCGAAGCCCTGTGATACTGCGTTCGCGCAGTGGGTTTCGATGTCGTTTGCCGTGGTGACAAGGTCTACATCGGAGTAGATATACACACGGGGCGTCGCACCCGGATGATCGGGTTCGGTGATTGATGGTAGCAGATTCGGGGTGTTGAGAAAGCTGCGCAATCCTTGGAAGAGAGGCGGGTGCCCGGAAAGACCATTGAGTATGCTGAACGCCGTGTACACAATGGATATGGGCGGGATGGAAAGGTAGTGAAGAATAGGGTGACTTGGAGCCCAGGATTGGATCGCTGACTCGAGCTCGTGCGATGCCGGGCAGGAGTCGAGCACAAGTGCGGTCGGTGGTCGTCGATGAGATGCATCTTGCATGCCCGTGCTGGACACTTTGGCGAGGGCGTTGTGCACGCTGATGAGCTGCAGGGCGCCACCTGCGAGTCTCAAGGTGAGTCAATCATTCGACAATGTCAATCATTACGCTTACCATTGGAGAGTACATGGACAAGTACGCCCCTAAATTTCACTGTACCACTCATTTCACGTCTGATAATATCGACCACAGGTGATATGCCTTTCTCCTGCCGGGCCGTCAGTAATGAGTGCAAGACACGGCAAGAACGACATACCAGCCACCGGTCCGGAGTGAAGTACCAAGATGTGTAAGCCCTGATGACGACGATGGTCGACGTAGGGAAGCACTTCCGCAGAGAATCAATATATTTTTGAAGGTATGGTAACCGTGCCTGCACTAACATCTTCGATGAGAAGGTCGTTCACCGACGTAGAGCGATGTGATCTCACGCCATCCGAACAACAGAATGACTCTATGGTCATGTATTGAGCCACACAGAGTTTGAGCCGGATAGTATCAGCACTTACGAAGGATGAAAAGGGTCAGGTGTCTGTGAAGGAGGCGCTTCGAGCAGTTGGACGTATGAATTCAATTCACGTAGTCGGGGCGTCGTCGCATCCTGTACAGAAGAGGTCATGGTCCTTACGCTCCTTGGCAAAAAAGGGCAGGAGACAAATGGTGTGCGCCTCGAAGGCGTGGTCTTGTTCTTATGCACAGTGTTCACTAGTCCCTGACACTGGAGACCCCCTGGACTCCGCCAAACTCAAAAAAATCAATCTTTCATCCTATACATATTCGTGAGTCAGTTACATCAGAGAACCTCTTCGACCAGCGATTGAACGTACGAGTTGGGCGGTGCCTCGTGTGGGATGCGTCCACGCTGTGCCCCGACAAGTCGTGTTCGGAGGATCGCAACTAATCGTTGACAGTGACTGATTGAAGGCGGTTTGAAATTATGACGGCCCGTATTGTTGGACACGAGGGTAGAGGATAGGTACAGAGCCCAGGCGGTGTATGCTATGTCCAAGTTGGCATGCAGCACGTACGTGTCATCTTCTGCCGAATTCGCACGATTTGAGATGAGCGCCATCGCATCATGGCTCAGTTGGCTGTGAGAGGACAGCCGCCCAGGACGCGTGGACATCGAATGGATAGAAATCCCGTCCTCCAAGGAGGAGGAAGAACTCGACGCTTCGATCTATCATCATCAACGTTTCAACGTCGTTCTGTCCACATTCCTCCTCTCCTCCCTCTCAGCACGTGATGCGTTCAAGCTGATGATCAACGTCAGGCCCTGAAGGCGCCGTCCCGGCCCGTCCGGGCTATGCCAGTACTTGTCTAGTTGCCTTTGACCGGTTTGTCACCGTCCTGTTGATATAATTATGATTTCTGTGATACTTCGTAGTAAGTATCAGCGTTCTGATTGTTCTGCAACAGTAGACCTCCGGAGACTCTCAAGCCTCAGCGTGGCGCAAATTGGTATGGACGTCTCTCGTCTCTTGTGATACTGACTTTCATCTGCTACCACGGTACACTATGTTCACGCATCATGGGTCGGAACTCATATATATGAGATCGGCTTTGTGGGATACTGTAGCCGTTTATTGCCCTGCGTCTGTGAGCACGACTCGGGACTGATCATTATGCATCCCACCCGTGACCTCGCTAAAAGTCCTCTCTTCCAATTGCACCCAGAAGGGCTCTCTCTTTCAGACCGCATCCAGGTTACATATGAACGAGCCAAAGCAATTGGGAAGGCGTATGGTACGTGCAAGTATACCGGTTTCCTCGATTTGCTGCTCACGAGTCTATCTCCAGCGCTGACAACCCAGGACCTGTTGCTCTTGTCTCCGAGATTCTGGCAGCTTCATACCGACCCAATTTGGAGTATGGATGGCGCCGCTGGTACTCTAAACACGCTTCAGTACAACTGCTGTGGAGGAACACTGGCAATGTTCGCTAAGGGCCGGTCCGATGTGGCAGATATCTTGCAGCAGGTCTTGGAGTTCAACGTCTCGTAAGTGCTCGCACCTTCATTGACGAGATCCTACAAAACTGAACTGTCAATGCGGCAGAGGGCAATACTGCTTGACTGAGGTCGGTCATGGCCTGGATGCCTTCCACCTCGAGACGACCGCTACCTTACTACCGAACGGTGACTTCGAACTACACACACCGAGCGAGCGTGCTGCGAAGTACTTCATAGGATGTCTTGTTAATTTTCGCACTTCTGATTGTTGCAATAGATACATGCCACCGACGGCTCCCATGGGCATGCCCTGTGTCGCAATTGTGTTTGCTCGCGCCTTGATCGAAGGTGAAGACCGCGGAGTGAAACCCTTTCTTGTTCACATCCATAATGGTAAGGATATGAACAAAGGCATCGTTTGCAAGTAAGTTTTCCGTTGGATGTTAATGACTTGTCTAATCCTTCACAGAGTGCTTCCTCAACGTGGTGGATCTCGGCCTATGAACCACTCCCTCACCTATTTCAATCATGTGCGCCTGCCTTACAGTGCGCTCCTCGGCAGCGTAGACCGGCCAATCAATCCGAAGATGTCATTCTTCCACAACATATCCAGGGTCGCCATAGGGACAATCGCCATCGGGTCTCTCGGGGTGCCTGCGCTACAAGTCGCATCATTCATAGCCGCCAAATACAGCATTCGCCGCACAGTTGTTAACAATGAAGGTCAACGGAAGCCCATAATGGACTTCAGAACGCAGAAGATACCTATCGTTACCGCGGTGGCTCAATCCTTTGTGATGCAGGCCCTACACAACAAGATGGTGCTGCTCTTCCGCGACGTCCATCTTGACTATCGCGTTCGCCACGCCATCGCGTCGATCCTGAAGGTCGTCATGATTCAGCATGCACAAGCAGCGCATCTGACTCTTGGTGACCGATGCGGAGCGCAGGGTCTCTTTGAGGTGAATCAGTTGACCGCGATGCATGTATGTCCTACGTCCTCTACTAAGTTTCATGCAGACTGACAATTTGTGTAGGCAGACATGCGAGGTACGGCTATTGCCGAAGGCGACCTCCTAGGGATTTCCATCCGTCAGTATCAACGTATCCTACTGCACTTCATTAGCTGATCGACGTTTCCGCCATAGGTTTCGCAACGGAATTACTTCTGCGGCGTTACGCTGTACCTGACGCTGGCGATCCATCCAGCCTTCTGGCCAAGCACGAGGCTGGTCTATTCGAAGAAATGCGAGAACAGCTCGCAGTCATGAGGACCCACAGAAGTCCCGACTTCGACAGGTTGATCCTTCCCGAATGTCTCAACCTCGTGCAGGCTATTGGTCATCGCATGGCGTATGATGCCGCTGTTTCCGCTGGCGTCGATATTTGCCTTATCGACCTATACGTTGCCAGCTGCGTCAAAATCGATGCTGCGTGGTATGTAGAGAAACTTGGCATGTCAAGGGCCGAGCAGCGCGCCATGGAGAATGACGCCGTCGACGCAGTGTTCCCGCAGCTTCAGGAACTCCTCGAACGTATGGATATTGAGCCATACATCTCAGCCCCCATGATTTCCGACGAGAAGTGGTCTCACTACATGAGCACCTTGCCGACTTTTGGAGATACGGAGACGTTGGTACATGCCGGCGCTGGACCTCTCATAAATGATGGGCTACCCGAGATGGCGACTACTAGTACGGTACTAGCTGTGACGGCTTAGATACATATGGGGTGCATCGTGGTGTTTGCAGACATCAACAGCTTAGTGCCGCAGGTGGGAAATAACGTGTCTAATCGACTTTGATACTATGTAGGCTGGGCATTAGACACCGTTGTCCCGGGGGATTCTGTGACAAGGAGTACTATGTTAGGTTACTAGAGTATTCTGTCGAGAGTCAAATGAGCCAGACGCCGGTTTGCCAGGACCCTGCCACTCGACACATGCCGATGGTCCGTCTATAAGTAGATGCAGCATTATTGGTCACTAGTCGCTAGTTCACTGCCCGCTGGATGATGGGATGTCCATGTCAGCGCTCAGGGAATCGTGCTATTTAGTCAAGTGGTCTTGCTCGAACTTCGGCATGCGCTCTCGCAGTGTCCCTGCATCCTTCAGCGTACTCAATGGCTCATCTGACCCGGGAGTCCTCTTCCTTCTTCAGAACTCGACATCGGTCATTATACCTCCTACGGTCGTCTTCGTGATCTTGACGTGGCAAAACTATTTACCTACTTCCCTCGTCTGGGCACTCACGTTGGCCGCTGCACCGTTCTTCATCGCCGCTCGCATCCACCAACGTTATCGGTCCATACATCATGCTCTCAGCCGTTCTGGTGCTACCCTTCCTCCGAGATGGGATGGCAAGCTACCAGGGCACTTCGACGTCATGCAGGAGATGGTGGATAGCCTGAATCAAGGTTACCCTGGTGTGTGGTACAATCTCCCATATGGTTATTCACGGCAACCACACCGTCGTGGAGATGAGCTTCATATTGTGATTGCATGATGATTTTGCATCGACGACTGTGTCCCGATTTTATAATGGCGGTCATGTGGGTCTGACTCTCAGCTAGCGTAGTGATTCGATCTCAGCTCGTTTCTCATTTCCAGCTCATTTCATCGTGCGACGTGCGTGCAGCGTACTTGACTATGCGGATGCAGCCCTTGCTCTTCTCTCCGAGTCTTCGCAGTTGATTTCTGACTCAGGCTAACCTGAATGTATATTTATAGGCGATTTCGCATGGCCTCGGTTCATGAGGCACGGATCTGTGGTACAGACGAATATCCTCTGGGACATGATGGTTAATAAGTACCATTGTCGTCAATCGTGGCCAGTAGTACTGATGTATTGTTATGCCCAGTATATAACATGCGACCCCGATGTCATGAAGGCAGGTTTGCGTTCATACTTTGAACCCCATATCTGATGTTATGTGAAGACGGTTCTCGCGACAGATTTCGATAGTTATGTGAAAGGTCAGTAGGTGTAAGAACCATTTCAGCCGTCAGCTGACAAAACCGTGACAGGCGAAACCTTTTCCGGCTTCATGAGCCCTGTGTTGGGTAGAGGTGTCTTCAACACCGACGGTGAGACCGTGCCTCTCGCAGAGATTCCGCTGACATTCATACACCGGCCCAGGTGAGATGTGGAAGTAGGTTCATCAAGTCTGTGGTACGTCATCGTCATAACATCGACTCACGCATTATTCAGGTTTCACCGTTCTATGACACGGCCGTTCTTCAGTAAGGACAGAATCAGCCATTTTGATATATTCGATAGACATGCAGGTGCGCGCGAATGCTCAACTCTGCAGATAAATGCCTTGACGCGATATCTGGTTACCATATCCCAGAGCTGGCAATCTCTAAAATGAACCAAAGGTTCGATGCGGGCACTGCTGTTGACTTCCAGGTCAGTTCTGGGAGGCGAGTATGATGGTAGACTGATGCGCATCCCATCAGGATCTCGTTTCGCGATTCACACTCGACGCTGCGAGTGAGTTCCTATTCGGGTCCTGCGTTAGATCATTGCAGTCGCCGCTGCCCACTCTCGCCTCTGTCGCGATAGGACCTCCCAACCATGCAAGTGCACGGGCGACCATTGCTCAGAGATTTGCTACCGCGTTTCAGGAAGCAGAACACGTCTGCTCAGAGAGAGCTTGGCGTGGTTGGATTTGGCCGCTTTTCGAAGCGTTCGAGAACAAGAGCACGAAACATATGCAGGTCGTAGACCAATTCCTCGAGCCGATTGTGCAGGATGCGCTGAGGAAAAGGGATATGAAGTCATCTGAAGGAGAGGAAAGCGCAAATGTAGATGACGAGGAGACGTTCCTGGATCACCTCGTGCGCTACACATCTGGTGTGCCCCCATTCTCTACTCTCTACTCGAGTTCTTATCTCCGTTCTATTCCCTGATCCCGTCGTTCTTCATGATGAGGTGCTGAACATACTCTTGGCTGGACGTGACACGGTATGTACTTACGTGATAAGTCGGAAATCCGCTGACCCAATACCTTGCTCGTACAGACAGCGTCGACACTTACATTCGCTGTGTATCTCCTTTGTGAACATCCGGCTGCGTTGGCCCGTCTGCGCTCTGAGATCCTCGCGAAGGTCGGACGACTTGGTCGCCCCACGTATGAGGACATCAAAGAAATGAAGTACCTACGCGCCGTCATTAATGAGACTCTGCGTCTATTCCCGGCAGTGTAGGTGCCATGAATACATAGCGGAAGATGCAGTTTACTGACATTAGCTCATTCTCATAGCCCTTTCAATATGCGGTATGTCCTATATTGCTCGTGACGTTGCCATCACTAAACTGATTATATCACAGGTATGCAGTCAAGGAAACATTCTTGCCAAATCCGGATCCCAAGGGCAAGCCGTTCTATGTTGCACCTGGAACACCGTGAGTAGCAGCTGTGCCATGGTGTACGTATTATCACCAACCAGTTGTGGCTGAGCAGTGTGTCGTATTATCCATTCGTCATGCACCGAAACACAGAGTACTGGGGACCTGACGGTGCGCTTACGGTATTCTTTCACATTATTCTCAGGGAAGGCTGACTGTCTGGGTTACTGTTCAGCCATGGAATTCGATCCCGACCGTTTTCTGGATGAACGGCTGCATAAGTATCTGGTCCCGAATCCATTCATCTTCCTACCTTTCAACGCAGGGCCCCGTATTTGTCTCGGACAACAGGTTGGTCATTTCTTTGTTTCTAAACGCCACGGAGACTAATCGAATATGCTTTAGTTCGCGTACAACGAAATCTCGTTCTTTCTTATCAAGCTCCTGCAGCGCTTCGATACGATGAGACTCGACCTGAGATCTCAACCGCCCGGATCTCTGCCACCCGAAGCGTGGTCCGACGCATGGGGTAGGAAAGCCATCGAGAAGATATGGCCGAAAGTGCATCTGACCTTATACGTAAACGTGAGTGGCTTTCGCTCGTCTTCGGCAAGCCGCATTTAGCAAAAAATTGTATTGCCTCGACAGGGAGGTTTGTGGGTGAAGATGAAGGAAGCAGCAGACTGAGATCGGATTGATTATCGTCTGCTTAGTATCTGGTCCCCACCGTTCTGTGATAAGTAGTCTCTGGTGACAAGATATCTCTACGAGCGGATTTACGAGCGTTCGGCACATACCAGAATACCTGTTATAAATGTGCCCCGAGCGCAATATATGGACACTGTCGAGCGAAGGCAGGTCAGAACAAGTCGGAGCTATCGCTCAATCGCCTTGAATGGGTAGTAACTAGCAAGACGAAACGACGATCCAGTTAACGTAACGACTGTTGTGTCCAGTAGTGTAGTCGTTTCAGTACGCAGGCTTCTATATCGCCGTCGTTGTAGTGCTCAAGCTCTCCTGGTTATTTGGATGCTGCTGCGAAGTCCAGTGATCGTCCACGGCAGTGTGTAGAGTAAGCGCTTAGATCAAGAGGCTAGCCCGACCCCTGACATGCCCACGGCGGGGACCTTCCAGACGACCCTGAGGCTGTCCGCGAATGCGACTCGAACTGGCCTAAATAGGTCCGAGATGATGGGAATGGTGGTGCACGCGAACGCCGTACCCTCCGGAAACTGGAGAGGGGAACGCTGACGGAAAGCGGCTCTGCAGCTGAGTTTGGAGGACTGCGCCACCGACAGTTACTCCCCATACCTGGAAAGACCGATATTGAATTTCGAATTGTGCGCACGGTTCACCATCGCGAAGTTACGTAGGAACACGAAGAGGTCTCGTCGTGCGCGGATGTGGATCGTGTAACACGCCGGGCACGCCCGTACGTACGCCTGGCGTACTTAGTGCTGTACTCCCCGGTTGCGCGTACATCAAGCAGTGATTTAAATGTATTGTCTGCAAGACATTCGGTCGTGAATGTACGGAGAAGTGTGGTGCTGCGCGTCCGCCGTGCGTAGGAGAGGGTACAACTTTTGGGTCATCCCAGGGTGCGGGTACACCACCTTCATGGCCAATAGCGCGCACGGCGAATCCATGTTCGTTGATGCACATGTTGGCGTGGACATGGACAATGGAAATGGCGAGGTGGGTACGTCCATCGAGCGCTTATATTCACCTCTCGAGCCTACTGCAAGACGGTCGGCCAAGGAACGGTTGAACACGCCAGACGTGCAACATTGAGCATTTGATGTGTCACCATGTTGGTAAGGGGTACAGCATAGAGGTCGCCCCGTAGCGCGAGCATGCCGCTCTCGTGGTCAGCAACGCGCACGACAAACTCGGTGCTCGTCGATACTCGCGCTGATGCGGGCAAGTGAGAGGCAGCGGCAAGGTGGGTGGGCATACCTTTGAAATTCAAGCCTGCGTGCCCTTTCCCTCTACTTGCCCCGCATCCTTCCTCCTCCTCTCCTGTTGCGTTCTCTCCGCGTCCTCTTCTCTCCGTGTTCGCCGCATTTGGGATCTTCTCGCTCGGCGCTGGACTTGCACTTGCATCGTGCAAGTCCTGAGTCACGCGGCTTTGTTGGGTGTGGCTAGAGCTGTGAGCTGTCGAGTACAAGTAGACGCCACCAGCTTGGAGATGAGAGTTGCCTGAAACAGATAGAGAAGCGCCGTGGCGAAGGAGAGGCTAGAGAGGAAAGAATATGTTGCGTCGCCGGTGGTGTTGTCGGGCGCTGCTAGCTGAACCCGCCACGGCGCGGAAAAACAGCTACCGTGTCTGAATTCTTGCTCGACAAGTACTGAGTGTACTGAGTACTTCGTCGTTTATAAAACTTAAAACCGGGCCGTCTCACTTCTGCGACGCTCTGGCTGGTGATGCTTGTCACTGTCAAGTTGGAGGAACACGGACACGCGGTGCCCTAGATTTGTACTGTTCAGCATACTCATGTGCTGTGTACGGTTTCCCCTCACCTTCTGGTACTTCGTGCTCTTTCTAGCTTATGCTATACTCGCTATAAGTAATGACGTGGCGAAGACAGATTACGATCTGTGCGAGGCACGTGATGAAGGAGTGCTGCCCCTACTACTAGTACTAGGCTCCCCGACTTTTTGCAGACTCAGACGTCACTGTCATCATCTCTACACCTCGAGTTGGCTGGCACATGGAGTCCACGTGAGTGCGGCCCGCGAAATACATGGACCTGCCACCTGAGACGCGCTGACGACACATGGTGGCCACGAAAAGGAGGAAATGGCCCCACCGTGTCGACAGCCATACGTGGCAGACAGGTGGTATCCCACCTGCCTACGAGGTGGGGTGCGCGTGTTTTTGACATGCGTGAACATAGTACCTCGGTGTAAGCCATATTGATGTCAGCAGCACGCAGGCATTGTGCGTGAGGCTTTTGCGTCGCAGACAGCATTCAAGCACCCATTCACGATCACGATGACAGTATCCAATTGCATAACGGTTCAAAATTAATACGCAGCCCACACTACACTGAACAGTTCGAATAACACTTTATTGGTACGGCGCAATGAAATCTACAATTGACCCTGGATACACGCGTGACGCAGAGCTCTAGTAGAACAAGGACTACTACGCACTGCCACACAGGAGATCCGTTGTTGCTGCTGTTCATCTACTACTTCCTCTTCGGGAACAACGTTGATCGCAGCGGGATTATTGCCATGTGAGGCCCTATCATTGTCGAGGATAGATCTAAAGACTCTATGGCACAATATCAGTACATAATGAATAGGAGCCCGGAAGGAAGACGTACCGTGCATTTTCTTGTCGTCATTACCAGCCGACTTGCGAAGAGTTGTGAGATGGACGTCGGGTATGACCCAGTACTTGATTGATTGGTCTTCTTCATAAACGAGGCGTTATAGGGCTCAGTCAGTGGAGTCCCTGACAGGATGAGCTCGTCGACGGAGCCACACTCGGCGTAGACACAGGTCTCGAGAGCGACGTCATGCTTGAGCTGAGGCTCAACGACGCCGACGCAGTCAAACCGCCCGTGAACCGGCTGAAGAAGCCGGAGCGTCGGGACTCCCGACGCTCCGGCTTTTGGAGACGGTGCTTGCGGGCGTTGACGGCGTGGTCGTGTTGTTAGTCGCGACACTGAGCGTGGACGACGCCGCGGAGGACGCAACAGATGGCGCATTGCTCCGCGGGGGAGAGTAGCGGGAGCCTCGCGCAGAAAGGGGGGAAATGAGAGACTCCGAGTCGGATATCATGTTTATAAGATACACGCCAGTGACCGATGAATCGATGACAGATGGCAAAGCAAGCAGACAGCGGCTGCACGGGAGAGGAGCCTAGTAGTGTCTCGGAATGGCTGCACTGTAGCCTCGTGCGAAGGCCCAATGTCGGGGGCGGCGCGCTGGACGTGGTCACTTGATACGTGGATCTCACTTCGAAGGAGGGAGGGGGTCCATCGAGCCACCGGCCGATACCGCATGCGCGCTCGACTCATCTTGACAGTGGGTGGAGGCAAGGTGGAGGACCGCGGCGACAGAACCTGTCTCCTGCTGACAAAGCCGTGACAGCACGTTCCGCACAGGTTTTCCCCTCAGCTGTCCGACGCCTGGCTTGCATGTCTCCCCACGTATCGAACGTCGTATCCCGTAGCTGCTATCGCCACGTTAGACGCACGATTCGCCCGTTTCGAGGTGTAGCGTCTGATTCCCGACTCATTCACAACGCCGAGCTGGGTCATAAGTTCACCTCCGAGCTTGCAAGATGCTGACCCAGCGCTGAACGTAACTCCCATACTTAAAGTAGCTGCCAGTTCCAAAGAGGTCGCTGAGGAGAGTCAAGGTGAGAGTGCCACTCCCGGGTTGTTTAGCTATTCACAGCACGATGTCGACGTGAAGCGTTCCGACGGCCCTCGGAAAGTGATCGCAGCTCGCTGACGGCCCAGCGTCAGCTTCTGCATCGTAGACCCCTGCATCACCGTTAACTGGGACAGTGATGAACAACGTGTCGCGCCTAAACTAGATGGACGCCCACCCGCGCCCGAGAGCCTGAGGCAATTCAACCTGAAGTACGTATGTACATCAGGAAAACTACATCTTGCTTCGGCAATCTTAGATGGCTTTCGCTGGCTTTGTCAGGCCATATAGGCATAAGTTTGTATAAGATCCTTGTAGTGAGCACGGAGTGATCATACATAAACTCCAGTACTTACCTGCAGCTGTTTTCATACATGAGCTGCCACTCGCTCATGTAAAAGCGAGGCGCCGTCATGTATGAACGAGGCGCCGTCGGTCGTTACCCGATATAGCAGCGACGCCGGGGCAGCCCGGTCCCTTCATCCGCAGCGGGGTGGCACCACTGGCGCGCGATGCGAAGCTGCCCCATATGGACAGACATCGGGGTCAGCATCTGAGATCAGGTACATACGATCTCCTGCGGAGTGCGCCGTCCCGCTGGGATGGTCACGTGGTGTCAGTTTCGGTCAAGCCTGCAAGGTGGCGAGCGCTTCCGCCCGCTTTTCTTTCCGACCCCCACCACCCCGGGCCACCCTCGTCGTTCGAGCACAGCACGCAAGACAACAGGTACATGAGAGGAGGGCTGGAATCGAGCGGTGAGTGCAGACACACGGGAGTAAGTGAGCTGACCTTGGGCGCAGGATGCGGCGACGTGGAGCATAACCCACACGCCGACTGCGAGCACGCAGGGCATCCGCCCTGCGTGCAAATATGATCAACAAACGGAAAGTGCGCAGACACGATCAACGAAAGCGTGGAAAATTGACCGGCCGGGTGAGCAGGTGGACAAGTAGGTGAACGGGCAGGCGGGCGAGCAGGCAAACAGGTGAGCAGACAAACAGGTGAGCAGACAGGCGGGTGGGTGGGCTGACAGCCGGACAGACAGGAAAGCGGACGGGCGAGCAAGTGGACGGGCGAGCAGGCGGGTGGGTGAACGGACGAGCAGACGAATGGGTGGGCACAGGGCGCGGCGAGAAGGGCGAATAGCTAGCAAGCACGGCGGACGAACGGAACCTGCTGGCACGCATGCGTGAACAAAAGACCAGCGACGGAGATGTCGGACAGGGCCGGGGCGCGCAAACATGCCGACCGTGAGCGTGGAGAGCGAATGCTCACCACGCAAACATGGTCGACGAATGGCCCTCGTGCACACAGGGCAAGCGGCCGAGCGACCAGGCGACTCCGCACACGCCAACCGTGAGCGCGCTGGGCGAATGCCCAACGCGCAGACACGGCCGACGAACGGACCGTGCGTGTGGGCGAAAGGTGGCAGACGGAGATGGTGGGCAGGGCCAGGGCGTGCGCAACACGCGCTGACCGTGAGGGCGCGGGCGCGGGTGTGGGCGCGTCGAGAAGTCCGGACCTGCCGCAGACCCGACACCGACAGTACATCACCCGTGGTTTACCGCCAACACCGGTGGCAAACCCGGGTAGGGTACGGGTATGAACCGCGGAAGTTGCACCTAAGCATGTAATTCCATCACAATAAAAACCTTAGCAATGTACTGTAGCAACGTAGTGGTGTTCAGAATCTAATGGTGGACTCATACTGTATCAAAACCCCCGACAATTCTAAGAACCCAGTGCTCAACCAATTGTAAAGTCAAAGAGAATTGATAGACAACGACGCTATTGTAGGTACACATCCGACCTACTGTAGACGAGATTAATGTTTGTGTTGTACACCATCTCATCTGTCATACATATTCGATAAATGCCTTTCAGCATGCCTTTCTTACCTATTGCAGCATACAGGACGTGCATACATAGTGCAAAACGGTCAGAACGCGAATCACACGTATGTTGCAGGCCTAAGTAGGACCGTTAAACGCGTTCTGATTGGTCAGGAACAGCCCGAGCACATCGGGGTTGCCAAATCTGGTCAGAAAACAAATAGACACAAATGTTGAGTTTACGGGCGCCCGCAAGGCTCGCCTCACTTCCGCACGCTACTGTGACTCTACCGTCCCGCTTTCTCGTTCATTTCTGTGCGGAAGACAACGGTGGACACCCCGAGACATATTCAGGAATGAATACAACTGGGTAAGCTTGGCCCGGTCATCTATGTACGCACCAACCTACTACCAATCTCAGACTGACCCTCTCGTCAACGAATATGTCGGACAGCACGTCGACGGGCATGTCGAATGGCACGCCATCGGGTACGAAGGGATGCGCTTGCTCGGGCAGATCATGATGGAGGCGGAGCTGCAAACATGATCAACGAGGTCGACGCGGCCTGGAACAGCACGATCGACTTCCCCGAGTTCCTCACTATGATGGCACGCAAAGTGTGTGACGCGGAAAGCGAGGAGGAGACCAAGCAGGTTCCAAGGTCTTCGACAGGGACGGCAATGGCTAGATCTCCGCCATGGAGCTCGCCCAACTACGGTGAGTGCGCTCGTCTGCGTGGGGAGGCGGTGCGCAGGCGAGAAGCTGTCGGACAACAAGGTCGACAAGATAATCCGCGAGGCGGATGTAGACGGTGACGGTCGAATCAATTATGATGGTGCGTCTTTCGCCGTTCGGTGCCCGTTGCTTCCCTAACATCCGTGCCATCCTCCTGGCACTCGCAGAGTTCTTGAAGGTACGCTCACTACCTCTTCATCTGCATTGTCACCAGGCCGCAATGAACGCGAGCGGATACCCGGTAGCTTTCGAGGCAAGAGCGGACGAACGAGAAAGACGGGCATTGACCTAGAGAATGTGTGCATAGTGCCACTGCGGGGGCTAATCCATCCGTGCAGTGTTAAGAAGTATACGACTGCTGCATTGATCAGAGCCTGCTCATTTGTCGGGACCTGAAACATGCGAAATTGGTATGGTTGCCGCTTTTTGTTCGTGTAAGGACTTGATGTAGTAGTAGTAATGATTGGCATCACAAAGATCAGATTAGAATTCCGGTGCAGTGTGACATATGCAGTGCGTATGTCATGGCGCACGACATACACAATATGACTATTCGGGCACGGTGCAAACGGGTCGCGGCTATATAATAATATATGGAGCGGTACCGACCTAGCCCTAGACCATGTCAGATCGAGCTGATCGCATATCGCGATTGCAATCACCCGATGGCCGTGACAGCACCCAAAGTGGACCAGCGCGCGACAGGTCCTATTTAGGGCAAGTACGGTTGCTGCCGCAAGCTCCGACTGCGAGCGGTAGCTGTCCCAAAGGGCAGCTTCCCTTTCGGGTAGGGAGGACCGAGCGGGGCGCCGGCTGCAGTGATAACCATACATTCATACATGAAAGTGTGTTGTAACTTCTGGGATTTATGTATGACCTGTTTGTGCTAACCACAGGTATTCATACATGAACCTGCCAGCATCTGGTGGCTTTGTATCAATCTTACCTGACTTACCTGTCTTACAGTGCTTAGCTCTCAACAGCCACTAGGACGGGCGACGTGCAGTGAAGCGCGTCAAGCCACGCAAAGGCAATTAAGCATTGGTATGAGTATATACTGTAACAAAGTAGCCTAAGGAATATTAAGCCGTATAAGCTCTGATTTAGTATGCAATGGTGTGAGCGTGATGATCGGCGAACTTGTTAACAAAGTAAGTAAGAAATGCGTCGAGGCTGTCAGAGGGTTTGAGCCCCACTGGTACAGATTCTTCGCCATACTCGGGAATTAGATGAGCAAGTCGGAAGATACTGTCAAGATGAATGACCGACATATTGCGTGATCCATCCATGTTGAGATCCGGTTCTACAACCCACATATTCGTTCGCCCATCCGGTTCATCACTAACACGTTCGAACCATTCGACGAGAGCGCATGGGTACACGACGCCTGCGTGTTTTATCGAGAACAGCAGCTTCACGCGTGCCACATGAAGACTGCGCATCCCGTGTTCTGCCGGGTCAGTGACAACAAAGACGCAGTCATACCGGTCCGTGGAACGCCGCCAGGAGGGCGTTGCACGTATGCGTTCGCGTCGCATGCCATGAATGCCGGAGTCATCACTTGGTGCGAAATACGTCGCGACGGCGGAGTGGTACACCCGTATGTTGCTGCGGCTGTTGATCATGGGGCAGGCAGTGAGGGGACATCAGATGACGAGACGTCCGACTCCGGATTGAGCTGGTCATAAAGGAATCGTCGTATGAGCTGTGGAAGCCCTGGTAGACCAAGAAACTGCACGAGATCATGCAAGTTCGAGGGATAACCACGAGCTGTGTCAGTCAATCTTCGTCAGCATACCTATCCCAAGCATCGAAGATCAAAGCATTATACACACCTGGCTGGCGAGCGAGGTCGACATACGCATCAACTCTTGGCTCATCCACGGGTTCCCCATCTTCGTCATTGACATCTCGGTTTCCAGCATTCGGGGCGAGTTCGTCCTGGTTGATCTCCGGACCATTGTCCTGAGGGTTCGGGTGCACCGCGTCTTCGTCATCTACAGGCGGATCTGCAGCCAAAGGGTTGGCAGGACCATCGCCGGCGTCGTCTGCTGCGTCGAGTTCTAGCAAAGCCTGGGAAAGGCAGGTTCCCACAAGCATGCCACGGCGAGCAAAGTCTGAACGCGCCGCAATGAGCTTGTCTAAGCGTTGGTTCGTGAGCAGCATCTGCCCGAGAGCCTTGTAGCGGCTGCTCCGGCGCCAGGGCTCCTTGACGGCCTTGATGTGCTTTGATTCAGTGATTGAAGTGCATAGGCCGTTCGGAGCACCGAACTGTCGGATGTGGCGAACGTAGTGGTCGAGTGCGTGCATCCGGGGAAGCGAGAAACCGGTCGGACGAACCCCACAATCCTGGAAGATTTGTCGGTGATGACGGAATCGTTCCAGTGCGCGTTCGATCTCTTCAATGTCATCCTCGCAGATAACTGAGCGCCGCACGAGGTAGCACACCTCCAGGAACGATGCGATCGCGCGTTGACGCGACCGAAAAGGACACAAAAGCCACACAAAAACCCAACCGTGAGGTCGAGCAGTGGTATGCGAGGCCTCTGCGTCTATGAGATGTACGGGGAACTGTACAGTGGTCTAGGTAAGAAGGAGGAGGACGGACAAGACTCCGAACGACGTGGGAGAGCTTCGAAGATGTCGAAGACTGTTCGAAGACGAGGGCTAAGCCTCGAAGGTAGGAGGGGGAGTTTCGACAGACGTGTCGAACGAACGGTGACAAGGAAGGCGAGCGACGGCAGGAGAAGAAGTGTAGAGCCTCTCGGGGCAACTACGAGCTGGCGGACGTACTGGCGAACTGACTGACTGACTTCGAACGTACTGACTGACTGGCGAACTTGCTGACTTCGAACGTACTGGCTGACTGACGAACCTCGCCGGTGCGAGGTGAGATTGAGAGGGTAAGGGGGTCTCTGAGATTCGAAGGGAACAAGTCCCAGAGTATATACAGGAAAATACGGTCCGAAGACCAAGAGAGCCAAGAGAAATACAAGAAATGATGAATGAAAGTGATAAGGAAAGTAGCCAATCGGAGAACGTCACAACGCTCGACCCGGACCTACTAACACATGAGAGCATCCAACTCGGCCTTCCGCAGGCTCCGCATAACGGGCGACCGTCCCCCGAACGGCGAAGGTCATAACCGGAGCCGGTGACAGTCCTCGAAGATATGAGACAGCCGCAGGAGTTCGCCTGACTTACACGAACATGCCGCACCTCGACCCAACTTCCGAAGCGTATGCTGCCCGCTACTATCGCCTCCTCGAAGTCCTCAAGACCGAGGGACTTGTCGAACCGCGATACGATGCCAACAGTCCCGGAGAGTGGCTGGCTTGGGCCCACGGAGTCCGCTGGATGATCGTACGTGCCTCCGAACATTGACTATCCTTCGAACCATCGTACCGACCTTCGAACAGCGCTTCTTGTTCGAGTCCCGTAGCCGGGCTATCCTACTAGCGAACGATACGCTTCCTGCTCCCAGGTCGTTCCCCGAGATCGACGAGTTGATGCGTTACCTCGACGAGGTCTTTCACCGCGATGGCAACCAGGGAGATATCCTAGGTTCGCCCTACCCTACGATCGCCTGGTCCGAGACCTTGGTGCTGCTCGAACAAGTCAACCAGGCCGAGCGTCGTCCTCTCGCGAACCCACAGTATCAGCGCGAGTCGTTGATCCTTTCCGACTTCCGCCAGCTGCCCGACAACCTCGAGTCCATGGGTCGAGCGATTCACAACATCGCAGTCGACCAGCGTCGCTCGCACGGCACCCTTGTCGGATTGCTCGAAAGCCTGCTCGAGCGCGTCAACACTGACCGTGGCTCCGACGCCGGTCCGTCTGTTCGTAGGGGTAGGGGTGGTGGTCATGGGTGTGGAGGTCGAGGCCACAGATACGAGAGTTGCCGAGGCCGTCACTAGTTAGTTTGACCTAGCCGTGTACTTGCCCGTAGTCCTACCAATGTAGTGACTCTTCTAAACCGTGTGACTTCGCCGCTAAGGGTTCCGAACATTGACGCTTGAGCTTCGAACATCGGGCGGTTCCCTCGAACGGACGGATAGCGCGTCGACCATACGGACTTAGTATACTGTCGTACCGACCGTAAATGGCGTTTTCGGTGGGTAGGTGAGCCAAGGGCTCATCATCTCCCCCTTACTGAGATACTGACCGTCCTCGGTCGGCTCGAACACGCCGGCGCTTGATTTGCGTCCGCGATCATCGAGATACTTCCGCGCCAGGCCGTCCGAAGGTCTTGTCCAATGGCGAGCACTTGAGAAGCGATTAGCGAACGGCAGGACGCGCTTCGATCACGTTGATCCGAAGAATTAATCCCATTGGACGGGAGGTGAGCGCTTCTTTCCCGTTTCGGACTGGTTCTGATGGGATGATCCCCGTTGTTTCAGCGCCTCGAATGCGGTAGGTGGACCCACAAAGCTCGAGCGCACATATAGCGGGGGGGATCCCCGCCGAACTTCGCTTAATCCCCCGCTTCGCTCTTCCGTCTCCGTCTCTGTTCGCTCGCCCCATGTCCGCTTCGTCCGCTCCCGCGCCCGCTCCCGCCTTCTCCAAGTCCCCCGAACCTGCCGGCGCCTCTGCGTCGGACGACGAGTACACCGTGGACGCGAAGACCGGGTTCCCCGTTCCCCACGACCCAAGAGCCCGATGTTCCCGCTCGCCAACTGGGTCGTGGCGAACCTCGTGCCCGAGAAGCCGGACGCGATTGAAGAGTGGCTCGAGGGTGCGTACGCGGCTACGGTAAGTCTCGTTATTTTCTGTCCTTCGTAGCGTAGTACCTACTGTTCGTGTTCGTAGAACCGTTACACTCGCGTCTCGAAGGGGCCCCGCTTTCGCACCGATACGCGACCGCTCTGGGCCGCCTCCTTGTCCTCGCTACCCATGTGAGTCCGGACACGGCCCGCCAGTGCGCGGGCACATGGAGTGGCCTCTCCTTGACGCCGCCATCGTGCACGCCAAAAAGGAGGTCGAAGAACGCCAGCAGTGGGAGGCCGAACAAGCTCGGCTGCGCGTCGAGGCCGAGGCACGACAACGTCGGGAGGCCGCCGAGGCCCTGAAGGTTCGAGAGGCCCGAGAGGCCGAAGAAAACGCACGACGCGAGGCCGCCGAGGCCGAAGAGCTCGAACGCCGCGAGGCTGCTGAGATCGAGGAGGCCGCCGAGGCTCACAAGCGCGAGGCGGCTCGCCAACTCCGCGAGGAGAAGGTCTTGCCGCGGCGTGGTCGTTCCGGCGCGCGGGGCAAGGGTAAGTCCCGTGCACAGTCCCCCACCGCCTCCGACGCCTCTACCGTTCGCGCCGACTCGCCCGAAGTCGAGATCGTCCCCGAGCCCAAGGGCTCGAAGAAGAATAAGAAGCGCAAGGCCCCGGCCGACGGCTCGGCCCCCGACGTGACGGACCCCGCAGTCCGTAAGCTCGTCGCTCGTGCGACTACCGTCCGTGACAGGACTATGGCGGTGAGTATTTCGGTTGCCTTTCCTCGTCGCATTCTTCTAACTGTTCGTGCTTTTAGTGCGACCGTTGCGCCGCGGGCTACGCGACTCCTAAGGAGTGCGTTTTCGAGGCCGACGCGGTCGCCTGCAATCAGTGCCTGCACGATCAGCAGGGCTGCTACTGGGGCGCCGCCACGCTGGCGGGCACTCGTAAGGCGCGTCGTGCCGGTAAGTCTACTCCCTATCTTCGAAGACCGGAGGGTCGTTCGTAGCTGACATGTCCGTTTCGTAGGCAAGGGTGGCGACGCCGAGGAGCCTGCAGCACCTCCGGCGCCGGCCCCTATCACAATTCCTGCCCCGGCCCCTGCGGCGTTCGTGCCGTCGCGCATGCCTCTTCATCCCCGTGCCGCCGCGGCTTTGCACGCCGCGCAGACGCAGACCCCGCCTATCGACATCTCGGCGATTCTGCAGGCGCAGTGCGCCCCGGTCCGCTCGCTCGCCGAGGCTCGTGCGGCCTTGACGGCGACCTCCGAACGCGTCGGCAACGTCGAGGCGTCGCTGAACCTAATGGGTCTCGAGCTGGCCGTGCTCGAGGGACTTCAGGAGTACTACAGCCGTCGCGTCGACGAGCTGTACGTCGAGTCCACCGAGGCCGCGCGCGGCGCATTCGATCCGCCTGCAGCTGGTCCGTCGGCGGGACCTTCGAAAGGTAAAGGTTCGAAATAGTTGCTCGTAGGTCGTGTTCGTGTTCGGAGTCCCGTACCTGTACTTGTAGTCTTGTGGTAGCGTTCGGGGCCTGTGGTCGCCCATGTGTCTGATGCCTGTAACGTCTCTCCTCCGTGTCCCGTATAATGAATATCTTGCTTCTAGACGCTGCCGTGATGTTCGAAGAATTGAAGTGAAAAGAGTGATAGCTTCTTAAGGCACGAATCTGTATAGGGTATATTGCGCGAGTCTCTACGCGGACTCATTCCTCGTCTTCTGAACTCGACGATTCATCATCTAGTTCGTCGGGTATGTCGGGCACCTCTGGCTCGTCGTCCCCTAGAGTGTCTGACTCCTCCATTTCACGCAAACGTTCGAAGGGTACGTCCAGGTGTTCGAGCGAAATCGTGATCGACCTTCGAGCAAGGTAGGGAATGACTCGAAACGCAGCAATAGGTCTATCGAGGACTGTGCCATCTAGTTCAGCAATGATGTAGGCACCTCCTCGGTTTCGAGATACGACGACCATAGGTCCTTGGTACCGCGGGCGCATCTTCCGGTTCAAAGCTTTCTCTATCGCTGTGTTTCGCACGAGGACTAAGTCCCCACGCTGGAAGTCAAAGTCTTCGATCGTGTACTGGTGCTCTCGTTCGAAGCGTCTGGCAGCCTCACGTCTCGCTTCGTAGACCTTCGAATAGATCTTCGAAAGGTCCTCCGACCGTTTCTGAAGTGCTACAGCGCGTCGTGCAATCAAGTCGGTAGTGTCGAGTGCTGTCTCAGGCGGTGGGACAAGGTACGTTGCTTCGATGACGTCGAGAGGCAGTATCGGATGCGTGCCTGTCGCTGCAAAGTATGGCGAACATCCCATTCTTCGGCGAGTTGTTACGCGTTCGGACCATAGTACTGAATGGAAGACCTGTGACCAGCGCGACTGATCTCCGTCTGCTGCCTTAAACAACGCTTGTCTCATGTCGAAATGCGAACGTTCGACGATACCGTTCGCTCGCGAGTTGTAGCCACTGATCCTGATATGGTTGATGTGATACTTCTTCGAGAGGTACTCGAGCGCCTTGACCCAGGGTCCGCCGTTGTCGGAGACTAGTTCGACAAGTGTACCCCAGCGACAGACAATGTCTTGATATAACCATTCACCAAGGGTCTGAGCCGTTTCTCTTCGAAGCATTCGAGCTTCGGGATACGTGATCGACGAACAGCGTGCTTGCGCTATGAGCTTGTAGCCTCCCGAGACCGGCATGAACATCGTGTCGCAGAACGCCTTCATGAATAGTCCGGCTGGCATCGCGACCGTCGGTGGGATGAGGATCTG